TGATCCGTGATGCATGTATCACAGTACACAAGACAGTGTGTCACTTCCAAGGATGGCGAGACACCAAACAACTTACAGTGTCCAAACAAAGATTATTGGAAAGCAGTATTTTTTTAATCAATGTATGAGAAATGTCGTATATCCCAGGTTCTTGGGAAAAGATAAAAATTAATGGAAATGAACCAGAATGCATTCCCTTAGGAATGCATTCACTGATAACGTTTCGGTCCTTGGACCTTCACATAACGTGTATTTGAAGTGATCAAGGTCCAAGGACCGAAAGTTGTAGTGAGTGCAGTCATGTTCTTTTTTCCCTCTAGTTGTCGGCAGTCATTTGTCTCCCAAGTACGGAAACATAAGATTATGTTATTATCACCGTTGGTATATACATTGGTTATAATCATAACCATAATTCTTAAAGGGGTGGAGGGGTAAGCCAGTGGAAGGCCTCGGTCAGATGACCAAAAGCTCCAGCGGCGGGTCATCAACTAAGACCCGCGTCAGGAAACACCTGTCTTGTTTCCTGACAAACATTACCTAACCTAATCTAAGCGTTGTTGTTGTTCAGTTTCGTTTACTTAATTTTCTATATTTGCTCATTTTTTTGGAGGCACACTATGCAGTGCCAGCTGGACACACAGTGCCAGCTGGACACACAGTGCCAAACATCTCAGTGCCAAAGAATTCTAGACACCAAAACAACTCACTAAGTACAGCACATGTGAAATACCTGTATAACACGAGGGACACAAATGCCCATGAGGGGCACAATGTTAAAAATGGTAAATAATAATAACAAATTGATAATTAAGACGCACATGCAACAGCTGGGTATCTTTAGTCAGATACAGAGGCAGCAAGTGTAATCAGTCCATCAACCTTGGAGAAATTGTATTTAAGGTGTCAGTCCCTCAGTCTTGGAGTTGAAGGAACACCTTCAGGACTACGGTGCTCTGTTGTATATAATTCTTCACATTATGTCCTTCTGTTGTACTGATGAAACCACTGGATGGCGAAACGTCTACAAATAAAGATACCCAGATGTTGCTCATGTGTCTAATTGACCTCTATTAATGAATTCAAAGTGGATGAGGTTAGATTTAGAAAGGATATAGGAAAATACTGGTTTGGCAGTAGAATAGTCGATGGGTGGAACAGTGTGCCTAGTGGGGTTATTGAAGCTAAAACCTTAGGCTGCTTCAAATTTAGGCTAGATAAATACATGGAAGACACTGGATTTAAGCGGGACTTGCAAATGAGTTAATAGATTTATCAAAGCTTATTACATGGGTGGCATTGAAAATGGGTTGGGCAAATGTTTTTGTTAGTGGGTTTAGGTTTGGGTTTGGGTTTGAGAAGGACGCGCCCAGTATGGGCCAACAGGCTTACTACGGTGTTCCTAAACTACCTGGAAGTACGATGAGGCTGATAGGCAGACTATAAGAATGAAAATGTGGGGACTTCAGATGCGGAAACCTCCAGCATACAAAAGATTTTGGAACGATATTCCACCAGATCGTAAAAGCAAACGATACTTATGTACAGTTCAGCACATTTATTAAAGGAAATGTACACAAGTGTCTTGTTCCACATCTTGTCGGTATCACCATATCATTTTCCAGTGAAAGAAAACATTATTAAGTTTTTAAGAGAACTGGGATTTGATCTGTCGGCCTGACAGGGACGACGTAGTGCCGCCGCTGCTGGGTGACAAGTGTCAACAATCACTCCAAACTAGGAACCACACGTTTCACTGAGACTGAATACTCCAGTTCCTGTCCCGGTCGCGTTTGTCGAGGGAGAACCACACATAGGATCGGTATGGGAACCAAATACCATTTTCTATTACAAATCTATTACATCGCTATTGGGCCGTGCGGACGTGCTGCGCAGTAGCTCCTGATTGAGTTGGCTTTTGCGCAGTGGTGACGTGTACTTAGCTCTGTGAAGACCTGTTTGCGCGCTCTCTAGAATTGAAGCAAGATGCCCTCCATCGAGCAACTTTACCAACAGCTTAAGGAAGAATTGAGGATGGCGAATATGGAAATTCGGCGACTGACCGAGGAAAACAAGAAGATTCGTAGTAGTCCTGTTTTGAGTCCTCAGGTCAAGAAGGGAAACTGGTCAGTGGCTGGACAGCAGGGAAAGAAGTTGACGATCAAGAAGACGAATGGAAAGGTAGAAACGATGAAGAAGAAAGAGACTGCCATGGAAACTGTTGTGGAAACATCTAATACATTCTCAGTGCTACCCGACGAATGTGAGTCGACTACTGGGAACGTCACGACGAAAGACATTAAGGAAGGTAAGAATATTGTTGTTGTTGGGGATAGCCAAGTTAGGTATATGGATAGGGCGTTCTGCTTGAAGGACAGGAGTAGGAGACAGAGAGTTTGCTTTCCTGGGGCTGGGATGGAGGATATTGTTAGCCGTCTGGATGACATCATGAGAGGTAATGGGAGCAATCCTATTATCTGTCTCAGTGCTGGAGGCAACGATGTTGGCAGACGTAGGAGTGAAGACCTGATTAGCAGGTATAGGTCAGCAATAAAAATAATTAGGAGTAAGGGTGGGAACCCTGTCATATGTGGTATTTTGCCAAGGAGAGGAGTTGGAAATGAATGGTTGTCCAGGGCAATTGGTGTCAATGGCTGGCTGGACAAATACTGTAAGGAAAATGCGGTAACATTCATTGACAACTGGGACCTCTTCTATGGCAGAAATGACATGTATGCCAGGGATGGGGTTCACTTATCTAGTATCTAGGTCTGGGGTGGTAGCACTGGCAACTGCAGTGGAGGGAGCAGTTAGGACTTTAAACTAGGAATAGTTAGTGGTATGGGTTTTGGCAGGAAAACAGCGAAGTCCCAGTGTAGTAATATTACGAGTTCTAGGGGAACTAGTAATAATAAGAACGAGGTAGATATTGAAAAGCCAGGGACCTTGGGTGATAAGGACAGTAATAGGTTTAGTAGAAAAATAGAAATGAGCAGGAAGGGTAAAGAGAAAGGAGAGTCTTTCAATGTTTATTATGCTAATTGCCGTAGTGCTAGGAATAAGATGGACGAGTTGAGATTAGTTGCTAGTGTAGGTAACATTGATGTATTTGTCTTAACTGAGACGTGGTTTAATTAAAAAAGTCGGGACATGCCTGCGGAATGTCATATTCAGGGTTTTAAATTGTTCCAAGTAGATAGAAGTATCGGGAAGGGGGGTGGGGTGGCATTGTATGTCGAGATCGCTTGAACTGTTGCATAAAAACGGGTATTAAGTCTGAAGTAACACATACAGAGTCTGTTTGGATAGAATTTTCAGAGGGGCATGAAAAACTGATTTTAGGAGTGATATACCATCCCCCAAACTTAGATAGGGACCAAGGGAGACTACTATGGGAGGAAATTGTTAAGGCCACAAGGCACGATAATGTAGTAATTCTAGGAGACTTTAACTTTAGTCATATTGATTGGAATTTCTTGACTGGGAATTTAGAATCATACGACTTCTTAGAAGTAGTTCAGGATTGTTTTTTGAAGCAGTTTGCGACAGAACCTACAAGGGGAAATAACCTGCTTGACTTAGTTATGGCAAACAATGAATCCCTTGTTAATAATTTAGAAATTTCAGAGGAACTGGGTGCTAGCGACCACAAATCAATTACATTTAGCATTGAATGGAAGTACGATAGTAGCGATAACTCAGTAACAGTCCCAGATTTCCGCTTAGCAGATTACGATGGGCTTAGAGAACACTTATCATCTGTTGACTGGGGTAACGAAGAGAGCTATCAATATGACAGTTTTCTGAACACTATACATGCTGCTCAAAGAACGTTTATCCCATATAAAGAAATTAGATCAAATAGAAATGACCCAAAATGGATGAATAATAGGCTCAAATATCTACTAGGGCATAAGAAAGGAATTTATAGGGGTATCAAAAGAGGTGAGGGTCATCTTATGAATCAGTATATTGACATTAAGAGGGACATTAAAAAGGGGATAAGAAAACCTAAAAGGGACTATGAAATTAAAGTTGCTAGGGATTCTAAAACTAACCCAAAAAGTTTTTTCCAGGTCTATAGAACAAAAGTTAGAGATAAGATAGGTCCCCTTAAAAATAACTATGGGCACCTTACTGACAAAGAGAATGAAATGTGCTCGATTTTAAATAATTATTTTCTCTCAGTTTTTACACAGGAAGACACTAACAATATTCCAGTAATTATTTTTTATAGTGGGCTAGAAGAAGATAAATTATGTAACATCACAGTCACTAGTGAAATGGTTGTGAAGCAGATAGACAGACTGAAGCAAAATAAGTCGCCGGGTCCTGATGAGGTTTTTTCAAGGGTTCTTAAGGAATGCAAAATGGAACTCTGTGAACCATTAACTAATATTTTTAATTTATCTCTTCAAACAGGTGTAGTGTCTGATATGTGGAAGATGGCTAATGTAATTCCTATTTTTAAAACAGGGGACAAGTCGTTACCGTCAAATTACCGCCCAATAAGCCTGACCTCAATTGTAGGCAAATTACTAGAGTCAATTATAGCTGAGATTATAAGAAGCCATACTCGATAAGCATAGCTTGATTAATGATACTCAGCATGGATTCACAAGAGGCCGGTCTTGTCTAACTAATTTATTAACTTCTTCAGTAAAGCTTTTGAGGCTGTTGACCACGATAAAGAATTTGATATTATTTACTTAGATTTTAGTAAGGCTTTTGATAGAGTTCCGCACCATAGACTGTTAAAGAAAGTGGCAGCTCATGGCATTGGGGGAAAAGTGCTCTCGTGGATCGAGTCATGGCTCACTGACAGGAAACAGAGAGTGTCCATAAATGGGGTTAAATCCGAGTGGGGATCTGTAACAAGTGGAGTTCCACAGGGATCAGTCTTGGGCCCGTTGTTGTTTATAATATATATCAATGATCTTGATGAGGGAATTACTAGTGATATGAGCAAATTCGCCGATGACACAAGATAGGTAGGAAATTGATTCAAACGTAGATGTTATGGAACTTCAGGAGGATTTAAACAAACTCTATTCTTGGTCAGAAAAGTGGCAGATGCAGTTCAATGTAGATAAATGCAAGGTTCTGAAGCTTGGGAGTGCCCATAACCCTAGTACTTATAAGTTAAATGATGTAGAACTTAGCCATACAGATTGCGAAAAAGGACTTGGGGGTTATGGTGAGCAGCAACCTAAAACCAAGACAGCAATGCCTAAGCGTACGTAGTAAGGCAAATAGATTACTGGGATTTATATCAAGAAGTGTAAGCAACAGAAGTCCAGAGGTCATACTGCAGCTTTATACATCATTAGTAAGGCCTCACCTAGATTATGCAGCTCAGTTCTGGTCTCCATATTACAAAATGGACATAAATTCGTTAGAAAACATTCAGCGTAGGATGACTAAATTAATACATAGCATTAGAAATCTTCCTTATGAAGAAAGATTGAAGACTCTTAAGTTACATTCACTTGTTAGACGAAGAATGAGGGGAGACCTGATCGAAGTGTATAAGTGGAAGATAGGTATTAATAAAGGGGATATTAATAAGGTCTTGAGGATGTCTCTCCAAGAGAGAACCCGCAGTAATGGATTTAAATTAGATAAGTTTAGATTTAGAAAGGACATAGGAAAGTATTGGTTTGGAAATAGGGTAGTTGATGAGTGGAACAGTCTACCTAGTTGGGTTATTGAGGCTGGGACTTTGGGTAGTTTCAAATCTAGGTTGGATAAGTACATGAGTGGGAGGGGTTGGATTTGAGTGGGACTTTCACATCAGAGCTTATTTCTTGGGTAGCATTGAAAATTGGGTTGGGCAAATGTTTTGTTAGTGGGATGAATTGTAAAGGACCTGCCTAGCATGGGCCAACAGGCCTGCTGCAGTGTTCCTCCTTTCTTATGTTCTTATGTTCTTATGTAAGGCATACATTATCTCTGTTGTTTTCCTTCTCATTTGTTCCCGACCATCGTAGTCTCGAACTATCCACACGTTTAGTCTAGGTGAATACTGAAACACACTGCAAATAGAAACAGTCCTCTTGAATGAAGGTATCGAGGTGCGTTACGTGGAGGGCAATTCAGTATTTAATAGAGTTATACCTGGTGTGAAGGCGTAAACATCATTTTCTTCCTTAACTTTTTCAATTTCATTCTCTGCTTTCTTTTGTTTTCTACACATTCTAGGCCTAATATTTTCAGTGGCATACCTTACTTCTTTGTAAACATGCTCTAAACATTCTATATCTCCTATTTTCAACATCGTCTTTCATCTCTTTAACATCTTCTTCCTCCTCTGTACAGCATCTGTGAATCCGACACCTTCTCTTTTCAATATAAAGGACCCCAATGGAAATAAGTCACTGTCTGACTTTTTTGGGTTATCCCAGGTTCTCTACACATATGCTGCTATGTATGATAATTCTATGTAACTGTATTTGTGTATACCTGAATAAACTTAACTTGCTTGGCAATATAAACACAAATGCAGTATGTGATCCTTTATTGACTACGTTTCGCCCACACAGTGGGCTTTTTCAAGTCACAAACAGTTCTGTTTGTGACTTGAAAAAGCCCACTGTGTGGGCGAAACGTAGTCAATAAAGGATCACATCATACTGCATTTGTGTTTATATTGCCATTGTGTCGGTATTTTATACCATTTATTTCCAAACTTAACTTGCTTACTTACTTAATATATGGGGTCCAGTCCCTGGACCCATTATGTACTTTTGTAATCTTTTGACTACCGCCCACAGGATGGGTATGGGGTGCATAATAAAGATATTAAACTAACTAAAACTTTTCAATACCGCGCCTCTCCTCTCGTAATATCTAAACATCCTCTTCTTCGGAATCAGCGATAATGTGACGCACTTGCTCTGTGTCTAACTTGGACAGACGTCCCGAGATGTTGGACGATTGGCGGGTGAGCGGGTGAAGGCTGTGGTAGACGGTAATGGGAGACAAGGTCCTCACCCGCAAGAGGATGAGCCCCCCAGCTATCACCATCAACACGAAGATGGCGGCACTGTGCCAGCAGAGGATAAGAGTCACTATCATCATCTGCTTGTCATCTTCCTGGTTCCACGCCTCCCCTATAGGATGGTACAAGATGAACCCCATTTGGACGAACCAAGTACCCTAAAGAGGGAAAAAAAGAAAAAATAGAGATCCAGAGTTAGAAATATACGTGTAAACTCTACCGTGAAAGATTAACATGTTCTTAGATGGTACAAAAATTTATAGGGGAATAAGATCTTATCTCATGCACCTCTTGCAGAATTAGGATCTTGTCTAACTCACCTCCTATAGAAGTAGGATCTTGTCTCACTCACCTCCTACAGAAGTATCTTGTCTCACTCACCTACCACTACAGAAGAATCACGTTCTACTCACTACATGAGAATGATGGAGTCTGGCTCAAGAGCCTCATCGAACAAGCGAGAGAAGAGCTCTGCAGTCACTGTGACAAGATGGTCCCGAAGCCCCTACTGCACTACTTACTTGACTGTCCTGCAACGATGCCCATTCTCCGCAGACACTTCCCTGTGCCTTCAGTGGGTCGGGCCCGGGAGGATGAGGCGGCATATATGGTGTACCTCGCCGTCCGTGACTTGGAGGCTATTCCTAGTCCGTGCAGCACACCCTCCTCCCCGATAAAGACACCGTGAAGACTCCCCGACGGGACCACCGCTACTGCCCCTTCTCCCCCTTTACATTCTCTTACTTCCGTTCCTCTGCCATACTATCCAAAGACAACTACGGTCAGCCCCCACCACGAGGAGCCATTGCAAGATTCAAGAAGATGACGGTCACCCTTCAGAGGGAGGGACCACAGCAAGACGTCCGCGCAGGACAGATGATGAGTGACACCCCTCACTCAAGGGGCCAATACCAGGTCACCTTTTGGTAAAAAACCCGGGCCGGGACAAGACCGGCAAACCTACTAGAACTAGGCTGAATTGCTACAGTAGATGGATCCGGACCCACTCTCCTACTGTACCAGCAGAACTAAGTCCCACTCAACACCTCTCAGGTGTCACAACAGAACCGGGAGCAACGCTACAACACACAGGCACCACTCACCTGCAGAAGGGTTAAGTACGTGCGGGCGAGGGCAGGAAGAACACTCCTCTTGTGGTACATCTCTAGGGCTATGGCTAAGATGCAGCCTCCCACCACGTACACCAGAAACATGTGTACCTATGTACAATGTTTACATTGATTATGGATCAGGGTAGACATCGCTATTATTACTTTCCACTCACGAAATCGTAATAACACTTTTTGCAAACAAATCACGGAACGGGTGGGGCTTGAATCCATGGCTATAATATGAGCCAGCTGGCTGAGTGGTTAATGCACTGGCCTATGAGCTGTAGGGTTCACTTGCCATGGGTTCAACCCCCCACCCGTTCCCTGATTTACTAATTTTGGTATTACAATATGTCTTGGGGCCACTGATCTATGTTTGGGCCATGTTTCTCTCACCTTGATGGTGGTGTTTTGCTAGTCAGGAAACAGGAATTAACCAGATTATTAAGTTTTATTATAGGGAAAATCAAGGTAACGCAAAATGAGAGAGAGAGAGAGAGAGAGAGAGAGAGAGAGAGAGAGAGAGAGAGAGAGAGAGAGAGAGAGAGAGAGAGAGAGAGAGAGAGAGAGAGGGGAGGGAGAGGAGAGAGAGAGAGAGAGAGAGAGGAGAGAGAGAGAGAGAGAGAGAGAGAGAGAGAGAGAGGAGAGAGAGAGAGAGATACAGAGACAGGGAGAGAGTGGGATAGCCTACCTAGTAGAGTCATTGAAGCTAAAGGCTTTGGGAAGCGTCAAATAGAAATTACATAAATACATGAGTGAGAGGGATTGGATTTGAGAGGGACTCACACTTGAGTTAAATTGGTTATCAAAGCTTATTCCTTGAGTAACACTGGTAATGGGTTTGGTGAATATTTTTTAGTGGGTTTGGGTTTGACAGGAACCTGCCAAGTATATGCCAATGGGCCTGCTGCAGAATTCCTCCTTTATGGTATTACACACTACCCTCTGCTACCCACCTGCACGTCCATGGGTGTACGACCGTGTAAGTGGTACGTAAATACGAGAGCCTCCACGCAGAAGGCCAAGATAGCGGATAGGTAGTCTAGGTCTTGAGGAATGGAGCCACCATAGAACGTTACTATGTCCATAGCGCCGTTCAACCCGAAGAAAAAGTATATCGTCATGTGCTGAGCGTTGTTGAAGTGAACGAAAACTCCGTCCACAAAGGCTGTTGAGAGCTCTCCTGTGTAGTAATTGTTGAAAGAGAGAGATAAGTTCTATATTTTCAAATGTAATTATCTTACAAAGTTATTCTATATAGTGAATTTTTTGCAAATGCGGTTCAAATAAGTGCATTCAAAATTAAATGTACTTAAAAAGCCTTTTCAAGTACTGTTCTATTTTAATGCTCTTTTTAAATCACATATGCAAAAAAATCGCACTGTACAAAGGACCTTGATAAGAGCTGATTCTGTACACACCGGTAGATCGATTATCCGGCACTTAACATTATTCATCGATTTTATTTCATATAGATCACCTGAATAGATAATGTATAAATAGAATGTGCTACCTATAGCTACTGCGAAAAAAAAAAAAAAAACAGAGGCAACTATCTAGCAGTTTTGAAAATCTGACGAAGTCTCCCTTCTAGTTCTTATTGTTGGTATTTAGGGCCACTGAAGCTGCCGCCGTACGCAATCTTCCATTCCCCTCCACTCTAATAAGGTGCAGGAAAATGGATGATCTTCTGGATATTTACTCAAAGAATTTGAACATAATGAAAGAAAAGCTGGGTTCAGGAACTCTGGTAATATGTCTATTACATTCTTAAAGGAAAATGTTATTTGGATACTTGTTTAAATAATCGCCTGTTTGAACCCACTTTAAGGCAACTCTCATTCTTAAAATGTGATAGGAAGTGAACACTCACAGCTCAAACTTATAGGGAGTGTACAATCACAGCTCACAGTTACAGGGAATAAACACTCACAGGTTCACATTTAAAGGGAGTAAACAGCTCATACAGGGAGTAAACAGCTCACACAGGGAGTAAACACTCACAGCTCACTCTCACAGGGAGTAACCCCCCTCACAGCTCACACAGGGAGTAAACACTCTCAGCTCACTCTCACAGGGAGTAACCCCTCACAGCTCACACAGGGAGTAAACACTCACAGCTCACTCTCACAGGGAGTAACCCTCACAGCTCACACAGGGAGTAAACACTCTCAGCTCACTCTCACAGGGAGTAACCCTCACAGCTCACACAGGGAGTAAACACTCTCAGCTCACTCTCACAGGGAGTAACCCTCACAGCTCACACAGGGAGTAAACACTCTCAGTTCACTCTCACAGGGAGTAACCCTCACAGCTCACACACGGAGTAAACACTCACAGCTCACACACGGAGTAAACACTCACAGCTCACTCTCACAGGGAGTAACACTCACAGCTCACACAGGGAGTAAACACTCACAGCTCACTCTCACAGGGAGTAAACAAAGCCAGCGCTCACCCGTCATGGCCACAGCAACAAATACCACCTTCAGGATCCCTTCCACGGGCAGCTTGGGACAGCAGGAGGAGTTGAAGGTGCAAGTACTTCTGTAACAGTATCTTCCACTGCCTCCATCCCTTACCCCTACGGCTCTCTGGGATAGGAAGAACTTCTTGAAGATGTTATAAATCCACCACAGGGAGAATAGGGACAAGAAGGCGCCAGGAACGACGTGACCTATAAACGTACCCATCTTCTTGTCGCTGGAGAAGACGAAAAGAAATGGAATTTTTTTCTTCTTCAGATAGGAGTTTGTTGTTATCCTGCCTCAACTCATTCTACATTATACGAGTTTGTTATCCTACTCATTCTACAAGCCACCCAGAATAGTCAGCTATCTAGATACCTATTTATTTCTGGGCAAATATTAGCAACAGATGTGAAGGCTGTTACCTAGATACCTATTTATTGCTAGGTGAACAATGGCAACAGGTGTAAGGAGACAAAACACTTAGGTACCTATTTACTACTAGGTGAACAGAGACAACAGGAGACTTGCACGTGTCTTGACTCGCCCGGGATTGAGCCCGGGTCCCTCGATTCTAATCCAATTACGAAATAATAATAATAATAATAATAATAATAATAATAATAATAATAATAATAATAATAATAATAATAATAATCTGATAATAAGGACTGATAATCAAGAAGAAGGTCCGATTCCAAGGATCAGGATCCTCTCGCTACACCCCCCTTCCTTTGTCGCTGTGTCAATGGTGTTATCAGTGCAGATAAGATTGTAACTTGAGCTGACGCGATCAGGTTTGACCAGAGAAAGTGGAAATGGTGCCTCTTACTCCCTGGATCAAAACCCTTCAACCGCATCATCAATATATATATATATATATATAATAATATATATATATATATATATATATATATATATATATATATATATATATATATATATAAAAATAAACAATAATAATATTAATAATAGCAATGATAATAATAATCATAATAATAATAATAATAATAGTTCTGAGAGTTGCTGGATCACACTCCAAGGGCCACTTCTTATCTCTTGTACGTGACTCCTGTCACTACTTCCTGACCTTCATAACACGTTCAACATCGCCCTTAGACCCCCCCCCCTCAGCCCTCTTACACACCCTCCCTTAATCTCTACCCAATAACTCTTTCCCCCATTCCGTCCCTGCCCTTACCCGGCCAGCCCGGTAATCGAATCCAGGTCCTTTTGATTGAAAATCAGAGAGAGAGAGAGAGAGAGAGAGAGAGAGAGAGAGAGAGAGAGAGAGAGAGAGAGAGAGAGAGAGAGAGAGAGAGAGAGAGAGTGAAATCATTTTGCTGACATTCCCGACAGATCAATGTCACTATAGTATTAACATGAGCAAACAACAGTAGTTGCCCCTCCAACGCTGTGCACCCATACGGGTTTTGCGCTCTCCTTCACCTTGAATAATAATAATAATAATAATAATAATAATAATAATAATAATAATAATAAATAATAATAATAATAATAATAATTACAAAAAATATGTTTAAACTAATATTTTTTCATGGTATTACTGCCCACATTTTCTTACTGAAATCTGTAATAATCTTCACAGAGTGAAAGATACGCAAGAATACCGGTAAGCCGGCGGAAGGCCCCAGTCAGATGACCAAAAGTTCCAACGGCGAGTCATTATCTGACTAAGACCAGCGTCGGGAAACACTTGTCCTGTTTCCTGACGAACCTAACTTTACCTAACCTAACCTAACCTAACCTAACTTTACCTAACCTAACCTAACCTAACCTAACTTTACCTAACCTAACCTAACCGAACCTAACTTTACCTAACCTAACCTAACCTAACCTAACTTTACCTAACCTAACCTGACGTAACCTAACCTGACGTGACCTAACCTGACGTAACCTAACCTGACGTAACCCAACCTGACGTAACCTAACCTGACGTAACCTAACCTGACGTAACCTAACCATGCCTATCCTAACCTAACCTAACCTGGGACTGGTAAGTATATTTAGGTACAGGTAGAAATAGATGCATTTACGGGTGGAAACATTAAGAAGTGTTTCCTTAAAACACCTACTGTCTATGTTCACCTAGCAGTAAGTAGGTACCTGGGTGTTAGTCGACTGGTGTGGGTCGCATCCTGGGGACAAAATTGACCTAATTTGTGGGAAATGCTCAGCATAACAAGCTGCTTTCTATATAGTAGTGTGTTACTGATGTCAGCTATGGTCTGTATACCTTGTACATGTACTGGTAGAAATAAGGATATTATTATTATTGTCTTTGACAAGGTGACCACAAGAGCACCAATATATACATACCTTGCTCCGGATACCTCTCAGTCATCAGATGTATATATATATACACCCAGAGAAATGCTTCTCTCAGCGTATATACACTACAAGTTAACGTTAATCCCTCTTGCAGGGATTAAATTATTCCTGACAGTGTTGAACTGGTGATGACAGTCTTAATGACCCTCATGTAGTCGACAGGCTTTCAACCACCCCATTAACGAGGAGAAATAAATAGCCGTCAGCGTCCACTACTCACCCACTAAAGACGCACAATAACAACCAGGTTGCTAGCACTAACAAGGTAACAGCAGCAGGTACCCGAGTGTGTGTATTCTGCAACAGTGTGATAACACTCAATATTACACAGTGTACACTGTGTTGTTTCTCCCCCGCACCTCTCATGTACCAACCTTATCTGATGATAATGCTGATTACATACAATCGTGATATAGTATAATAAAAACTGCCTCATCTACTTGACGATTATTTGTATAGCGTGTGAGAGATGGGGAGGTAGTTTTATATATATATATATATATATATATATATATATATATATATATATATAATATATATATATATATATATACTCACCTAATTGTGGTTACAGGGGTCGAGACTCAGCTCCTGGCCCTCGTCTCTTCACTGACCGCTACTGGGTCCTCCCTCTTCCTGCTCCAAGAGCTTTATCATACATCGTCTTAAAACTATGTATGGTTCCTGCCTCCACTATATCACTTGCCAGACTATTCCACTTCCTAACAACTCTGTGGCTGAAGAAATACTTCCGAACATCCCTTTGGCTCATCTGAGTCTTCAACTTCCAATTCTGACCCCTTGTTTCTGTGTCCCATCTCTGGAATATCCTGTCTCTGTCCACTTTGTCTATTCCACGCAGTATGTCATTATCATGTCTCCCCTAACCCTCCTGTCCTTCATTGTCGTCAGACCGATTTCCCCTAACCTTTCTTCGTAGGACATTCCCCTTAGCTCTGGAGCTAGCCTTGTTGCAAACCTTTGCACTTTCTCTAATTTCTTGACGTGTTTGACCAGGTGTGGGTTCCAAACTGGTGCTGCGTACTCCAGTAAGGGCCTGATGTGTGAAAATCAGATACAATAAAAGGCGATATACTAGGAATAAGGTAAACTGAATTATTTACACTAACACTAAAGAGAGGATCAGCTTACAATAATAAGTAAATGAATGTTAACTATGCAAGAAATCAATCTCCTCCCATCCTGTGGCATCACTCATTGAGTACTGTATCTCTTCCTGATCTGGCTCATGCTATGACAGGCTCTGACATGTGCAGGCAGTCTATTCCACTTTTTTACTGCTGTATAATAAAAGGTGTTTGAAGCCTGACCACTGAGTGTGGGTAATACAAAGTTGTGTTCTCTAGTACCATACTTTAGTTCCCAGCCTTAACAAACTTAGCAGCAAGATATTCTGGACACATCTTGTGAGCGATTTTAGATTATCTGATACATCTGGGCAGGGCCTAAGTCGTCGGAATTTTGACTTTCAAGAACCATTACGAGCTATAAGACATTTCTACTTATTAAATTTGTTTACTGTGAAAGTTACGGGGGATTAGCAAGATTGGTACAGGTTGGGATCCTCAAGGAAGGTTCCTTGATGGTAATGAGGGGCTCTTGATCCAATGAATTGGACTTCCCAGTCCTTGGATCAAACCTGATTGTGCTATTACTCAAGTGTTGCATGAACCGTATGGGTTTAGCGCCTCCCTCTAGTTAAAATAATACAAGATGTGCCTGGGTTCGATACGGCGCATGGAGTCAGTGGCCCTAAAACAAAAACCTGGATCCCGGTGCCGCTGAAAGTTGTTTTGGGACCCGTGACGTCACACTGTAAACATTGAGGAGTCCCTCAACATGTGGAAATTATTCTCGAGAACTTTACCACGTTATTTGTTATCTCGTGCAGCTGTTTGTCAAGCTTCCAGCTTGCCGAGGACGATAAGCTGCACACACCTGTGTAAAGTATCCACGAGGACGTGCGAAACATCGTGTTATGGGAAGGTATTAACAGTAGCAGCAGGAACAGCAGCAGGAGCAGCAGCAACAGCAGGAGGAGCACCAAGAGCAGCAGGAGGAAGGAAGACATGCAGGAGGAGAGGGCTCAAGCTCCTGGCCTCAGCAGGGGTTCTCGGGGGTTACTGTTATTACTCCATAAATTCAGCCGCTGTTGCTTGCCAGGATGTCCTGGTGGAGACCCTTGATGAGGGAGACATCGACTCCAAGCCTCTTACTCGACTCGAGGTAAATTACAAGTCGTGTCACAGTTGCATTCTCAGCTCACACACTGGGGGACCAGGGTTCGATACCTGACGTGGGTGAACCTTGGGAGTGTTTCCTTACACCTGTTGCCCCTTGTTCACATAGCAGTAAGTAGGTACCTGGGTGTTAGCATACTATGGCTGGGTCACATCCTGGGGGAGAGCTCTACAACCCACTAGGGTCACACAGCTAGGATTTTATTATTATTACAATTAACAATAATAAAATCCTAGGGGTAAGAATGGCTATTGTTCATTTTGCACCCTAGGTGTGTTTTTTTTATGCAAATTCTATGTTATTATGCATGTTATGCAGCGCTGTATGACCCTTGTCGGTTTAGCACTTTCACTGCATGTTATGCAGTGAAGGTACCTATATTTAATACCTATTGGAGAAAACTAGGTTGGTTTAAGTTTTGTTACTAAACTTATTTATCAAAATGAAGCTTCTTTTCTATTGGTCCAGAATAATTATTATAATCAAAATAGAAGCGCTAAACCACATGGTCCAGGATATAACGTTTCCATTGCAAAAGCTATTTAAAAAAAAATTGCATAATAAATATTACTCTTATTTTTCCTTTTATCACCTAAATGAAAAAATTCCATGTTAAAAATTTTTCCCATGGGATGGAATTCATAGATGTTATTTATCAAATAATAGATTAGCAGGTTTCTGTCCTGGAGAAAGTAAACAATAAATGAGATGGTTTAAAGACCCCAGTACAAACATTTTACTTCTGCTGTATGTACACGTACTAATGTTACTACCACTGTTGGGAGGCACAGTGCCTGCACTCTTAAGGAGCGGTGGAGGTATGTTGCAGTTTTTTAACCATAGTGTAAGAGCGCCTCTGGCAAGACAGTGATGGAGTGAATGATGAAAGTGTTTCTTCTTTTTTGGGTCACCTTGCCTTGGTGGGAAACGGCCGATGTGTTAATAAAAAAAAAATTACTGTGTTTGTTAGTGTTTATGTCTGGGTTTTCCATGCCAGCAATGGTATCTGTCACTTTCTCATATTTAGTCTGGTAAAGTAATAATTTTAGATTAACTAAATTTATTTAGGCACATGTACACATGGGTACAATTATCATGCATAGTATAAATTACCTAGGATAACAAAAAGCCAGACAAAGTAACTTATTTCTTCTGGGGAATTTTGATGTAGAAAGTCGATTCTTGTGTATATCAGTGATGCCACAAGATAAGATTTGCATGTCAAAGTGGTTTGATACAGTCTCCTTGTCAGTTGAATGAAGCCGCGGCTCTCACGCATTCATCACTCTTGCGGCAAGCCAGTGGGGTCACCGTTGACGCTTCTCTGCAGCTGCTTCATCGAGTGCTTAGAGCAAGGCTGGATTTCTCAGCACAATACAGGTCAGATATAATAATAATAATATTTGATGTCAGCATGATACAATGCTTGTACAGTGCATGCAGAAAGCCCATGGTTATGCAGAGCATTTTGGGAAAACTTAAACCTAACTTAAGATTACAGTGGCAATAACAAATTTATTGTTGATATAAAAGGACATTAAGGGTATATAAACAGTATATTTAGGAATTGATCTACATCATTTGATGAGTCACTTTCGTATGGTGAAATATTTTGTGATTTTATGCCGTTGTTACCATTAGTTCAAGGGGAAGCCCTAAACCTGTGGGGTCATGCAACACCTGAGGTAAGGGACTCAATAATCTGTGTCTAGTCTTAAGTAGTCTGTAAGTATCTAGTGGCTTTCTTTTGTGATGAACAGAAATTGAATTGTATTGTATTATGTCAGCAGTGGTAAATGCCTTGAAGAATGCTCTTTCTTTGGACAAGACTCCAGACTTCACTGCCCGGTGTGACGGTGCCTAAATGATCCTTTCAAAATTCCTCGCTCAATTGCAAAGTGACACATATCTATGACTGTGGTATTTAAAAGCAGAGATAGTGAAATATAATAGCAAGATGTTGATTGCATTAGACAATCAGGACATTAGATGAACACTACAGTAGGCCTAGTGATCTCCATCTCATTGCTCTCACCCATCGCTCAGATACCATTGTGTTGCAGTGGCTGTCAGACACTGCAGTATGTTGGTAGAGAGAGATGTCAAACACTGCAACAAAACAGTATCTTGGTACACAGCTGTCAGACACTGCAACACAATGGTATCTTGGTACACAGAGCTGTCAGACACTACAACATAATGGTATCTTGGTACACAGAGCTGTCAGACACTGCAACATGATGGTATCTTGGTACAGAGGGCTGTCAGACACTGCAACACAATGGTATCTTTGTACACAGAGCTGTCAGACACTGCAACATAATGGTATCTTGGTACACAGAGCTGTCAGACACTGCAACACAACAGTAACTTGGTACAGAGGGCTGCCAGACACTGCAACACTCCCTCTCCAGGTTGATTTGTTTGTGACTCAATAAAGCCCACTATATGGACAAAACTTCAATAAATGTAAAAAGAAGATTAGCTTTTGTTGCTTCTTTTTCGGGTCACCCTTCCTTGGTGGGACATGGCCAGACTGATTAAAAAAACAATTAAGCTGCATTTATGTGCTTTACTATTTCTTACTCACTTGGCTATTAAATTAGGAATTTCAATAACAGCATGGAGTATTGCATGATGTTAATGTGGTTATTATAATGTGCAGTCTAGTGAAAATATTCCCCTCAAGGGAGGTTCCTTGACACTGTTGAGGGGCCCTTGATCTTTGGAATTGGATCTGTGCTCCAGTTCACTGAATTTAGCCCGAATATCTTCCATATCCCCCCCCCCTCCCTCAGGCGCTGTATAATCCCTGTGGGTTTAGCGCTCCCCCATATAATAATAATACTGAGAACTGCAAATGCCTTCAACAGAAAGCAACTAAATGATGTTATAGATCTACTGGAATACTGCACTTCAGTCTTGCACAGTCCAGAGCAACACGATAACATCTGGGGACGTCTGGTCGTTTCACGTGCTGAAATGGAGTCGTTGAAAGATCACCTCAAGGTATGTTTCTAAATTTTATTTCATTTTTTGTATTTATTTTGACATTAAGGTTTTCTTATTTTGAGATATATTATGTTTTACTATTTAAAAAGGAAAACTTTTTTTTTTCTTTTTAGGTCACCCTGCCTCAGTGCAATATGGCTGGTTTGGTGAAAAATATCTTCTTTACTCTTTTTTCCATATTCATTCATTAATATTGCATTCATGGAGAAAGACAGGGGTAGCCATTTCCTAGAATCAAGAGCCTTTCACTGCCTTTCAGCCTTTTTAGTTTTCAGTCTTTGAAAAATGATTGGCAGGTCTGTGTCTTGGTGAATGACAAAGAATTAAATTCATGGCTTTGAAGACTGGAGAATAAAAAGGCACAATATCATGACTGGAACAATACACAAAAAACACCTGCACGTAGGAGGATGAAACTTATGACAATATTTCAGTCTGACTTGTTAATGGCCCAAGTCAGACCGAAACATCGCTTTTTTTTTTTTTTTAATTTCAGTCTGAAAATTCAAATATTGTGAGGATGTAGATATTTTTTTTTTAACGTGTTGGCCATTTCCCTCTAAGGCACGGTAACCCAAAAAGAAAGAAAAACCCAGAGAGAAAGAAAAACTTTCATCATCATTCAACACTTTCACCATCACTCACGCATAATCACTGCCTTTGCTGAGGCACTCAGACACGACAGTTTAGATGTCCCTTCAAACTAGATATATCAATTAGATATACAAAAAACATTGAAAAGATATTTGATTCCTTGCAGTTATTGAGCTGTTTTTAATAGATCAAGAATTAGATATACAGGAGGGCCCCCCTATTCAGACTTCTGGCAATAAATATATTCCCGACTCACTATAGGTTAAGGAGGAGAATGTTTAAAATAAGAACTGTGTGTACTGTATATGCATGGGTTATGCCTACCTCTATTGCTTTTATATACATTTGAAAGTGGAAAAAGGCTATATTTCACTTTTCAGTGATTTTCACTTTACAGCAGTAGCCCGGAACCTAACCTGCTGTATAAGCAGAGCCCTACAGTACTGTACATAAGTTAAACCTTGAAATGACTAACTGATAGGGGTTACTGTCTTAGTGTTTTCAGTCAGTAATTTTTAAATAACCTCATTGTTATTATTATCATGGGGAAGTGCTAAACCCACAGGGTTTATACAGTGCCTGTGGGGGGGGGGGAAATGGAAGGTATTCAGACTCAGTTCAGGGAACTGGCACACAGATCCAATACCCTAGATCAAGAGCCCCTCATCAGCATCAAGGAACCTCCCTTAAGGGGTTAAATAACTGCAAGGAAGTACTAAGGTACTCTAATGTATACCTTATATAGCACTGTACACACAGTTTACAGGTATACTGTGTTGCAACCCCTGAATGGGTTGCAATGATTATTATGTATATATATAATTATTACCTTTTCATTTAATTTTATATTGCTTATATTTGCGATAATAGCTAAATCGTAAATGTATTGCTTTATATTGTTATTTGACGTAGCTTCCTTTGTTAGGTAGGATGTAACATGTGTGCTCAGTTCAAGTCTTGATTGTCTAACTACTGTAATTATCGCTCCTTGCTCGTTACTCTGCTGGCTTCTGAGCTGCAGTTGTCCACGGAGCTATCATGTGATCGAGGGGGGGGGGGTGTCCTCACCTCGCCTGAAATATTCAGTCTGGTCTAGACTCTCTTGGTGGTTGGACAGATTCTCTGTCTCATTATTCTTGTTAGTTCCGTAGAACTCTGTTCACAGAACATTGTATAGACTTAGTGATTTTCGACGTTGTACTGAGGTTGTGTGTCTCATAGACACTCTTAGTAACTCAGGTCCTGAGCTGTAACTTCTCACTTAACTTGTACTGGTATCTGTGTATTATCACAGTCGGGGATTTTCTTATGCTGAACTTAGATTCAGTAGTATGGGAGTTTTGTGACTTTTGTGGAGGATCTGCAGATGGTCCCTACTTAGTGTCGTTATATTATTCCTTGTTCCTGATTCTGTGTCGCAGTTGCTTGTTATATTGCTATTGGGCTTAGCATTCTTTTTATTGTTCAAGCAGACTGTTCTGATTGCCAGTTGGTCAAGAAGTTAGTTTATGTGAGGACTTTGTCAGTCACTTGTTTAGTCTAGTCGAGTCTTGAGATATAGCGAACTACTTAGAGCACTTACACATACATACTTGTACATATTTGTAATATTTTTATTAAATGTTAATGTACCAGACAGTACTTAAGAATTATAAATGTGATATGTGCTTTCAGCACAATAATATTGTACTTGAGAGAAGTGATATTATTTTGATTACTGTGATTAATTTAATTTAATTTAATTTGATAATATACCTCTAGACTTAATAAATTTATTAAATTTTAATTTCTCTAGTTAGTAGCCTACCAGTTGTAATCCTGAAGCACTATCGAATTATTCTGAATTCTAATGGATAATTGGACAAGGATACTGACTACTTGTTACGAAAACCCAGTAACAGGCTGGATGCTAGAAGGGCAGTCCTTTCTAGTGTTCACTGGAGATCTCTAAGCTTTTAGAATCGCGTTTTTTGTAACAAATGGGGGTCCGTCCGGGATGCTCTTGATCCAAGGTGGTGGAGAAGTTGTCCAGTTTGACATACTAGTAACTCTATGATCAAACACTTTGAGTACTTTCCTAATCTGAAGACTTTGAGTTTAGTCTTGTACAACATACCAGGTGGATGTATGTACCTGACTGAGTCTCTTGATCCAAGGAGATGGAAATACTGTTTATGAGTTCTAGCTCTAAGACAACTAACACTAAAATTCCTATCAAGATTATAGTTTCCCATAATCACTCTCTCGTAGTACACTTATTTTCGTGATGTATGCCAAAGTGAAACAGTTAATTGATACTCTGACTTTGTCTGAGTTAAGTACATTAAAACTTCAGACGTGTTGGCGAGTAGCCAAATATCTCGGTGTGATGTATAACAGGAATTACACTGCAGAAACTGTCAGAGCGTTAATTAAAGATATATTGTTTCCTGCTCATACAGAGATGTCTGATTATGATTCAGATTCAGAAAGCCTAGTGTCACAATTAGGAAGTATGACTATTTGATGAAGAAGAAAGAGCAACTAAGGCAGAAGTGTCTGAGCCTAATGAACCTCCGCTCACACCTTCCCGCCTCACTGACACAATAGTACAAAGTGTAGCTGGTTGGATGACTCAGCCTAATACTAGTACAGTGTATGCTACACCTCTATCTACTTATCCTAGACCAGATCTAGACTCTCTAGAGATGGCTGGACGAAGTGTCCAACCTAAGGACTGTCCAGATCATGTTAATTTCCCTACTCCTCCATTACCCACTGGTCCTATCTGTCAGGAACAGTTTGAGAGGTTTGAACGCCTCATTATGTTGCAGACTGCACAAATAGAGGCACAGAGGAAATTGAAAGAAGAAGATTTCCAAAGAGAAAATGTTCGTCTGGGAAGACAACAGACTGATAGATCACAGGACACATTTAATGTGCAGAAAGCTGCATCCATGGTTCCTAAGTTTTTTGAGAGTGACTTAGACACCTATTTTGATGTGTTTGAGAACCAGGCACGTGCTATGAACTGGCCACGTAAGCACTGGGCAACCTTGTTGCATACAGCTTTGACAGGAAGAGCTCAAACTTGTACTGCTACCTTACCATTTGCCAAGTACATTAGTTATAACGCTGTCAAACAAACTATTCTGGAGACATTTAACTTGTTACCTGTAAGTTATCAAAGAGCATTTCGTACGTTACAACGACGACAAGATCAAACTTGTGTAGAGTTTGCTTGTGAGAAAAAAGTTGCATTTGAGAGATGGTCTAGAGCTGCTAAATGTAACAACTACGACAGCCTTGTTCAGTTGTTACTACACGAAGAGTTTAACAACTGTATGTCTCCTGACATACAAGAATATCTGATTGATCATACTACCTCGGATATTCTGGAAACTGCAGCATTAGCAGACAATTACGAGATTTCTCACAAACTTGTACGTACTAAAAAACAGAAAAACAAGGTAACTAAAAATTGTCCTAGAAGTTGGCAACCTAAATCAGCTGCTCATTGCCGGCTGATGTACCTGCTACTGTAACTTCTCGTACCTTTACCAGGAAAACTCACAATCCTGAATCTGTCTCTGTGGCTAGACAGAAATCTGATATCGAGAAGAAGAAAGTTAAATGTACCTATTGTAACAGAAAAGGACATGCTAGAGAGTATTGCTATAAGTTAGAAAGAGATACGAGAGACAGTCGTGCGGCTGGCGCCCCCACTCAAGTCGTATCCTCTTCCGAGCAACAAAGGCACCAAAATCCTAGTAATATCTCTGATCTTACTGTTTTAGATAATGTTACTCAGGATAGATGACTAGCGTCAGAAAGTGTATCTGACGAAAAGATTCGTTCAGCGATGAGTCCTTACTTTTCAAGAGGTAGAATAGGATTTGACGAATCACATCTAACTGAGATAATTACTTTCAGAGACACTGGCAGTTATCTCACGTTATTAAGAGAAGATGTACTGCCCATAACTGACGATACCTATTGCAAGATAGATGTATTGTTAGAAGCCTATGGTGGGGCTGTTATAAAAGTACCTTTGCACAAAGTTTATATTGAAACAAGTTATTATACTGGTTATATTTCAGTGGGTATATCCAGTGGTGTATTTCCCATCAGGTCAGTGGACTTGTTGATAGGGAATGATATCCTTCATGCTGGTATATGTAAAGAACCACTTGTGATTGATAATAACACTGATGATAATTATGCCATTGAAGCTTGTAAAGAGAAACCTATTTTATTTCCTCTCAGCGCAATTACTAGAGCTATGTCAAAGATACAACAACCATCCTTGTCTCCTGTTGAGTTAGTGGATGACAATGATTTGGGGTTGAATATGTTGTTTAGTGACGCTCTGCGCCCTGGATCATTAACACCGACTCCCCCCTGTCATCAACCTAGTCGGGACACACCTGACGTTAAATTTCTAACTCATGATGATTTAATCAAGGATCAGTTTGTTGATCAGTCACTGGAAAGACTGAGAGATATAGCAGTTACTGAGAGTGAAGCAAAGGATCTCGATAATTGTTACTACTATAGTAACGGTGTACTGATGGAGAAAAATACATGTAAGTTGTCAGCTGATAGTGTTTCCACCACAGTCAAGCATCTTGTAGTGTTACCAGTTACATTTTGTGAACAAGCCATTGATTTTGCTCACAATAGTCTCATTGGAGGACATCTGGGTGTCAAGACACTCGGTAAGCTGGCAAAACATTTTACTTAGCCGAAGATGAAGGAAACAGTAGCTGATCATGTGCGACGTTGCCACGTGTGTCAAGTGACAGGCAAGCCAGCACACACACCTCCACCTACACCTCTTACTATGTTCTCTAGTAGCAAAGTTCAGTTCACCTGGACTAGAGATTGTTCAGACTCGTTCAAAAGGTTGAAGCATCTGCTTTCCTCTGCTCCAGCGTTGAGTCCAAATTTCAATCTTCCCTTCTTTTTACATATAGATGCGAGTTGTTATGCAGTGGGTGCTGTGCTGCTCCAACAGTCAACATCCACTGATATTCTCCATCCTATATGTTACTATTCATCTAAACTTAAACGACACCAGAAAAATTATGCCACTATTGAGAAAGAGGCTCTAGCTCTTGTGGTGTCCTTGGAACATTTTGACGTGTATTTGGGCACTTCCCCATTTAAAATTAACGTTTTTTCAGACCACAATCCACTCACTTATATTAACACTTTGAAAAGTAAAAATGCTAGGATCATGAGGTGGGCCCTCAGAATCCAACCTTATTCTATTAGTATAAAACACATAAGTGGTCATTGTAATGTAATTGCTGACGCTCTGTCACGTCCTTAATAATTATCAGTTACATTAAATTAACGTAATTTGATGCCCAAATACCTTTTGTTACTTGCTATGTCAAATTCAGTAAAGTAACTTAATCCCTCCAGCCCATATTAACTATATATACTCATGTCTAATTATTATATTTATATATTCACAGTATTGTTGTGTGTGTAAGGAGACATAAGCTGAGTGATGAGTGGGTAGTGTCGTGTGGGCGATGTTACTGCTTGGCGGAACACTGTCCTGCCGCAGACCCCCCCCCTTCACTACACACCTTAAGCTGTTTCATACTCAGATGTCCATACTACATAGCATTCCACAACCACTACTTAAGAGTGGAATGCCGTCTCCTCTACTATGATCGAGCCTCAAAGGGCCCTCCTTGTCTGCGCTATCCTGTCTCTACACTGATGTACATAACCACGAGTATGCAGAGATACGATACTGTGTACTGCCCTAGTACTAGGGGCATATCCTAGTGAAACTGACACTGTTGAATGATAGAAGTGCTTGGCACAAGAGTGACTGATTAATATTTATATTAAATTGTATTAATATGAGTAATCAGTAATAATGTGAAAGACATTAATGCAACTCCTAGTGCGACCGTCTGTCGTGTTGGGGGGGGTGTTGCAACCCCTGAATGGGTTGCAATGATTATTATGTATATATATAATTACCTTTTCATTTAATTTTATATTGCTTATATTTGCGATAATAGCTAAATCGTAAATGTATTGCTTTATATTGTTATTTGACGTAGCTTCCTTTGTTAGGTAGGATGTAACATATGTGCTCAGTTCAAGTCTTGATTGTCTAACTACTGTAATTATCGCTCCTTGCTCGTTACTCTGCCGGCTTCTGAGCTGCAGTTGTCCACGGAGCTATCACGTGATCGAGGGGGGGGGGGTGTCCTCACCTCGCCTGAAGTATTCAGTCTGGTCTAGACTCTCTTGGTGGTTGGACAGATTCTCTGTCTCATTATTCTTGTTAGTTCTGTAGAACTCTGTTCACAGAACATTGTATAGACTTAGTGATTTTCGACGTTGTACTGAGGTTGTGTGTCTCATAGACACTCTGAGTAACTCAGGTCCTGAGCTGTAACTTCTCACTTAACTTGTACTGGTATCTGTGTATTATCACAGTCGGGGATTTTCTTATGCTGAACTTAGATTCAGTAGTATGGGAGTTTTGTGACTTTTGTGGAGGATCTGCAGATGGTCCCTACTTAGTGTCGTTATATTATCTCCTTGTTCCTGATTCTGTGTCGCAGTTGCTTGTTATATTGCTATTGGGCTTAGCATTCTTCTTATTGTTCAAGCAGACTGTTCTGATTGCCAGTTGGTCAAGAAGTTAGTTTATGTGAGGACTTTGTCAGTCACTTGTTTAAGTCTAGTCGAGTCTTGAGACATAGTGAACTACTTAGAGCACTTACACACATACATACTTGTACATATTTGTAATATCTTATTAAATGTTAATGTACCAGACAGTACTTAAGAATTATAAATGTGATATGTGCTTTCAGCACAATAATATTGTACTTGAGAGAAGTGATATTATTTTGATTACTGTGATTAATTTAATTTAATTTAATTTGATAATATACCTCTAGACTTAATAAATTTATTAAATTTTAATTTCTCTAGTTAGTAGCCTACCAGTTGTAATCCTGAAGCACTATCGAATTATTCTGAATTCTAATGGATAATTGGACAAGGATACTGACTACTTGTTACGAAAACCCAGTAACAGGCTGGATGCTAGAAGGGCAGTCCTTTCTAGTGTTCACTGGAGATCTCTAAGCTTTTAGAATCGCGTTTATTGTAACATACTGTAACAAATGTTTTACGAATAATAATCAGGTGTATATAGGATAAAGAAGATTTTCTGGTTATTTTAGTTTTTAAGTGTATATTTTTTGGCACATATAGAATGGTAAGGTATGTTCCTTCAAGGGAGGTTCCTTGATGCTAGTGAGGGGATCTTGATCCAGGGAATTGGAGCTGCCGTCCTCCCCCCTTCAAAGGGAGGTTTTTTGAAGCTAGTGGTAAGGTATGTTCCTTCAATGGAGGTTCCTTGATGCTAGTGAGGGGGGATCTTGATCCAGGGAATTGTGGCTGCCTTCCTCCCCTTTCTCGCCCTTCAAAGAAAGGTTCCTTGATGCTAGTGAGGGCTCTTGTTTCAAGGAATTAGATATTCTCCCCTCCTTGGACTGAACTCAATTTCCTCATTCACTAGGCACTGTATGACTCCTACGGGTATAGCACTTTCCCCTCAAAAAACAACACTCCCCTTCCTCAGATCAAAATTTATTATTCCCCACTTTATGCCATTTCCCCCAAGTGCTATATGACCCTTCCAGGTTTAGAGCTACCCTCTAAAAATAATAATTTAAAACCATTAATTTTTTTGATACACAGTACAGGATTACCTTACTACTGTGGCGGGTTATGTTACAGACCGCCATTATAAAGCAAATATTGTCCTAAAGTGAATCATAGCCTTTATAGTATAATATCATGGTATTCAAATAACCTGCACATAGAAGAGAGGAACTTACGATGACGTTTCAGTCCGACTTGGACCATTTCAGTACTTTAGGGAAACTGGCCGATCTCTTTCTGACAGACTTAGGGAGCACAAAAGTAGTGTTAGACTTGCCTACACTAACAATGCTCTTTTCTGTCACATCAGAGATCACAGTCATCCTATTGACTGGTCTTCTGCTAAAACTGTCTTCCCTACTTCCAACTTTAACAGTTGCTGTCTGGTTGAATTGTTCCTTATACACAACTTTCCTTGTATGAATCTTAGTCCTGGCTTCATTTCTGTACTTGCCTTCCTTTTCCACTACATTGTAAAATGCTCCAAACTTCAGAACACCCATGACTTAACCTGATTCTTTTTTCTTCTTCTCCCTCTTCCTCTTTCCTCTTTCTCCTTTGGGTTGTCTTTCTTCTGCCTTGGGTATTTGTTCCTTCATTATTTATTTTCCCCCTCTGTGTTCTTGCTCCTACCCCTCTGTGAGACCCTAGCTCTCTTGCAGTGCTCCTCTTTCTTAGTATTTGACTGGCTCCACCTCCACCATACTACCTTCCCCGCTACTACCTTCTGCCTCCACTACTACCACTACCACATCCTGGCCTATATATACTCCATCCTTCTCTCTTTTTCATTAGTGTGACTTTGTAAATGATCCAAGTCGGATTGAAATGTTGTCATAAGCTCCTCTTTTCTATGTGCGGGTTATTTGTGTATCGTTTCAGTCATGGTATTGTGCCTTTTTTCGTTAAATATGGTATTAAAAGGGCCCCAATGGAAATAAGTCACTCTGACTTTTTTGGGGTTATCCTGGGTTCTCTACACATATGCTACTATGTATGATAATCTATGCAACTATATTTGTGTATACCTGAATAAACTTACTTATTGTAAGCCTAAAAAACATGTTTGTACTATCACTTATTAAGTATACAGTAACACTAAGTCTAAACACAACAATGCAAAAGGCCACATTAAGAGCAAGGCAAGTCCAAAAATAGAGCAAAGCGCTCCAAAGGGAACGCCGTATTAACGAAGTATGCCTCTTCAGCATTATTGTACTGATTTTTAATCAGTAATAATACTAATTATAAAACTGTTTACTAAACCCAAGAGGGTGCTTTAGTACAAGATGCTTGGTTTAATTTCCAGATCCAGACCATAATTTTTTTTTTTTTATCACTGGCCGATTCCCACCAAGGCAGGGTGGCCCGAAAAAGAAAAACTTTCACCATCATTCACTCCCAGACCATAATGTATAAATCTAAACAATGTCTGCTAGAAAGACAGGCAGGTTAGGTTAGGTAAAGTTTGTCAGGAAACAAATTAAGTGCTTCCTGATGCTGTCGTTAGTTCCATACCAGTACTGTAATCTTCGTTATACAGGACTTGAACATACTGATGACTTATGCATACACCACACTAGAGAATGCAGCCATGACAGCCTTCATTAGCGGAGTGGAGTTCACAGCATCCGCAGCACAGCAGGCGATAAACAGTGCAAAAGCTGAGGTGACGTAGAGTTTGATTTATGTATCCACTTACAGGTGCTGAAGGAAGTTAGTGTGCATTTGTAATGTCTGGATTATAATTAGTGAAATGTTCATGATACCATGTTGGCAAACTCTCAAGTCAATATAATGTTCATATTACATCAAGCTGCCATTTCAAGGCAACTTTTCTCTTAATATTTTCATGTGTGAATTGTCATCAGAATTTATTGCCTTGAATCTCTTAATAAGTTAGATACAGGGACACAAATGCAACTACTGTGACATTTTATTATGGTAATATTTCACTCTCCAGAAGCCTTGTCAAGCTGTACAGCTTGACAAAGGAGCTCTGTCAAGCTGTGCAGCTTGACAAAGGACCTGTCAAACTGTACGACTCGATAAAATGAGCTTTATGAAACTTCTGGAGAGTAAAACGCTGCCACAATAAAATGTCACATTAGTTGCACATGTGTCCTTGTACCTAAAACACTGTCTGTAATTCCTCCATTATTACTACTCTCTTAATAATCTTATCATTTTGTTTTCAGCTTGAGAACGACACAAAGCAAAATTTGGCTTTGGAACTACAGTACGTTCACACTCACACCAAGTATATTGAGGCCTCCCACAAGTTGATGGAGGAAGCTGAAGCCAGCAGTGAAGAAGGTGCAGAGGTATCGGACGACAAAACAAAGACCAGCATAGATTAATGCCAGTCCGTATTAGTATAATCATAACCAAGCGCTAAAACCGGAAGGGTCATACAGCTCAATGCCTATCTGTAATTATCTCTCAAATTGTACCATAGGCCAAATTTGACTGTTCAATAGAGTACAGTTGCCCCAATAATGCCTTTTGGCCATTTTAAACCCCATTAATTGTTTTCAGATGCACAAGGGGGTTTGCTTACTGTGGCAAATGCTTCCATCAGTGGGGTGTATTGATCCTAGTGTGGGGGCCCTTTGTCCGAAGAATCAGTTACCCTCATTTTTCTTAGATTAGCCCAATTCTCATTCTCCAGGGGCTATATAGCCCAAACCATACCACGGGCGGGGACAGAACCTGTGATCAGAGAGTCTCAAAACTGATCGTGGGTTCTGTCCCCGCCTGTGGTATGGTTTGTTTGCAATTGTGTCATTACGATTTTGTGAGCTATATAACCCATACAGATTTAGTGCTTCCTTGTAAAATCAATAAAGTGGCAAATACTCTGTTGTTGCTACATTATACACAACCATGAACAGTACCAGTTCTTAAGTCATGTGAAGCAATTTGTACTAGTTTATAAGTGGTGTGAAGTGAGTCAAATGAGTTCATAAGTCATGTGAGGTGACTCATACTAGTTCATAAGTCATGTGAAGTGGCACTAAGGTTAAAATGAAAGAGCAACATTTATTATACACCCTTTTTGTGAGAATTCTTTTATAGAAGCTGGGAAATTATATACAGGTATCATAAGCAAACACTGAACACAAATTTGTTGTCTGTACAGTATGTTAATAGACCATTTTTGTGTACTGCATTATTGATGTGCAAGTTATTTAGAAGAATTTATAACAAAAATAAATATAACAATAAAGGATTTTATAATTTTTGAATGTTGTACATCAGTAGTGCTGTATTATCCAAATGGGTTTAGTGTTTAAAATATAATTTTATATTACACCAATAAATATCGAGTTCTAGGGATGGGACATTGCCAAAATTTTAGTCTAATACCGATGCCTAGTCTCTGGTGTTCCATGGCTTGGTAGGCAATGCTTTCGACTCGCATACAGTGTCTGTAGTTCAGTCCCCAGTAAGGGTGGAAATATTGGGTGTCTTTCCTTACACCTGCTGTCCCTGTTCACATAGCAAGTCATTAGGTACATGGGTGTTAGTCAACTGGTGTGGGTCACATCCTGGTGGACAAGATTGAGGACCCCAGTGGAAATAAGACAGACAGTCCTCGATGACGCACTGCATTTCTTGGGTTATCCTTTGTGGCTAACCTTCTGGCGTTAAAAATCTGAACAAAATCTTATCTCATCACAGATACCAATAGTGTGACACTCTTACTGAATTAAAAAAAACACGAGAAAGGTATGAAATCACTTAGACTGCTTTCCATGGGTTCACTGCAGGAAGGGTCTTGATGCTGTGACGGGATGGTGAGCGGAAGAAATTGAGCTACCCTTTCCTTCTTTGGACTAAAACCAATTGCATGTGCCTCCAATATCACTGGCACTGCAAAACTTACAGGTTTAGTGCTTCCTCATGGCAATATTGTTTACTCTGGTTAACTGTAGGAAATGACATAGAAGGTTGCTCCTCAGTTGACTTAAGATTCTGGTATGGTGTTAACCTTGGTAATGGATCTCGGTACAGACAGGCTTCGTTTCACAGCACTTTGCTTCACAGTGTTTTGCTAATATGTACAGTAGTTTTTCAGTTATACCCGTTCTCATTTAATCAGACTTCCTACAATAAATATATTCACCACTCACTATAAGCTAAGGATGAAAATATTTTAAGGTAGTGTAAAGCACCCTTCTGGCAAGACAGTGATGGAGTGAATGATGGTGAAAGTTTTTCTTTTTCGGGCCACCCTGCCTTGGTGGGAATCGGCCAGTGTGATAATAAAAAAAAAAAAAAAAAGTAATGTGTCTACTGTATATGCATTTTTTAGGCCTAGCTCTATTGCTCACTTAAATATATGATAGTGTAAACATGTTATCAGGTTTTATATGCATTTAAAAGTGAAAAAAGGCTGCGTCTCATGTTAGTGATTTTCGCTTTACAGCAGCAGCCCGGAACCTAACCTGCTGTATAAGCGGGGCCTTCCTGTAATTGGTTTAAAAAGACACTAAGACGTTAGAAAATGTTTCAGTCTCAGGACTGAAATGTTCTATATGTCTTACTGTTTGTTCCTGTGTCTTTTTTAAACCAAGGATGCCAGTGTCTTTATAAGTGACTTGAGGTCAGTACCCGAGTCAGTCAGCGAAGATCCCAGCAGCGTTAACAATACATCATTGTGATCACTGCCGGTGAGGAGGAAGGAGGGGCTTCATACAAGGAATTGGACCCATCTTTCCCTTCCCTGGATCAAACCTGATTGCCTCCTGTACTCCCAGGTGCTGTATGACTTACAAAAATTGTAATAACACAATTGTAAACAAACCAGGGTAATGGGGCTTGAACTCACATTATTATTATTATTATTATAATCAAGGGGGAAGCGCTAAACCCGGAGGATTATACAGCGCCTGGGGGGGGGGGGATGTGGAAGGCATTCAGGCTTAATTCGGGGAACTGGAGCACAGATCCAATTCCCTAAATCAAGAGCCCCTCACCAACATCAAGGAACCTTCCTTGAGGGGTTGAACTCACAGCAAGTGAGTCATAAAACTCTAGGCCAGTGCATAAGCCACTGGGCCAGCTGGCTACAGTAAGATTTGTCTAACTAAATATATACACCATAGGGAGGTTATTATTATTATTATAATCAAGGGGGAAGCGCTAAACCCGGAGGATTATACAGCGCCTGGGGGGGGGGATGTGGAAGGCATTCAGGCTTAATTCGGGGAACTGGAGCACAGATCCAATTCCCTAAATCAAGAGCCCCTCACCAACATCAAGGAACCTTCCTTGAGGGGATAGGGAGGTTAGCAAGGGCCACCACTGTGACCAGACCCACTGGCTCAGGCACTGGACTGGAGTTTTACGACTCACTTGCTGTGAGTTCGAGTCCCACTTGTACTGTGGTTTGTTTAGGTGCTGTATGTCTCATATGGGTTCAGTGCTCCTCCCACGAGTGTAATGTCTGGTAATAACAATACAACTGCAGTAAAGACCTTTATTTGTACAATGTTTCATTCAACAATGGGTTAAATTAGTGCAAAGGGAGTCACATCACTTATTCATGTGTCATGTGCTTGGGTGGAAGTAACGCTAGTGTAGAAAGTGCACTGCAGGAGGCCTACTGGCTCATGTTTAGTTCACTATCTCATAAAATATGTACTATGGCAATATGATAATGGGATACAATACCAACAAGTTGATAAGACAAATGTGCAACAGTTATGATTCTTTATTCTGAAATATATTGCTTACACAGTAGTCTTCTTCAGTCAAATACAGAAGCAGCAGAAGCAGTAGAGATGTAAAGATGATGTAATCAGCCCATCACCCTCGAAGATGTAGGTTTGAGGCGGTGAGTCTCTCTCTAGGCTGAGGGACTGACCATCTCAAAACTGTCTACGAAGGTGAGGGACTCATATATCATCTTTGCAGCTCTACTGCTTCTGTATTCTATTGAAGAAGACTACTGTGTAGGCAAAATGTTTCAGAATAAAGATATCTAACTGTTGCACAGAATGTCTTACTTATCAACATGTACTATGGGAGCTGACAGAGTGAACATTGCATTGTTTTATTTGATGGTTGAATAACCGATGAGTCGAGGCATCTTCTCAGTTTGTTCTGCTCTTGGTACAGTATCATAGTTTAGCTTTGTTCTATCACAGGCAAGTTGCAGCTTGTTAGGTAAAAGAACACAAGTGCAATTAATGTGATATTTTATTGTGGCAATGATTCACTCTTCAGGAGCTTTATCAAGCTGTTACAAACAATACAGGGACACAGAGAGGTATATATAGGTCCAAGGTGAAATGCAGAACATAATCTGTACCTATATATGTATACCTCTCTGTATCCCTGCATTATTTGTAACGGCATGACAAAGCTCCTGGAGAGCGAAACGTTGCCACAATAAAATGTCACATTAGTTGCACTTGTGTCCTTTTACCTAACATATTGTCGGCAATTCTACCAACATAAATAAATGAGTTGCAACTTACATTCACACCTCATGTCCTGGAACAAAGCTGAACTACCACACCAGGAACATGATAATCTGCAGTGGCTGGGATCATCACTTGTTAAACCAACACCATCAATCAAAGCCCCCAAAAAACCCACTAATAGCCCAATGTAATTCGTGAAAACCAAGGATTGTGACTTAATTCAGTTGAGGCCTCTATATCCTCCTAGTATATGACCCACAACTGGCAACTAACTCCTAGGTGTCTATTTTACTGCTAGACAAGGAGGGGCAGCAGATGGTAGGAGACTTAACTATAAATCTCTACCACTGAGCAAATGCCAAAATTGTTGACTAAATTCAGTACAGTACATTTGACATGGTAGTTGAATTTAGTCTAATATATTCACACAGATTTATTTACTTCAAACATTAAAATAACTATGCAAAAAATGCAATGGAATGACAAGAAAAGTGTTTGAATGAGCATCCTTTTGTAATTCTATTGCTAACCAGATGACCCTTGTGGGTTTAGCACTTAGCTATGATTGTAATAATAATAATATTGGCAACCAGAATATCATAGTTGTACTTCATTCCAGTACTGAGGATTTTTCACAAACAATAAATACAAATTAGGAAACGTGCAAGCAAGTTCGGTGTACAATTTATCATCTGCTGGAAAAATGAGTACACATGGTACTTTGACATACCATATTTTACGGTGTCGAAGATGCTATTATTTTGGAAAAAAGTCTCTTAAACTTACCCAGCATCTTGGAGGCTGAAGTACTGTTTATCTTTTTTTTTTTTTCAAAAATTTAGCCAGCCAGAATTGTGGAGGATGGGGCAGGGGTGGGGGGGATCCTTGACACCGGAGAGTTTTGTTTTCCGTAAAATACAGTAAGTGTTATAGATTACCAATTCACCACTTGTTATGTACTACAATATAACTGATGACAAAATATAATTTAACATTTTTATTTCACCTGAATTGCAAAACTTAAAATTCAGCTGCTTGCATATTCCAAATATGTATTGATCAATATAGAAAACATTCTTAAAATACATCACATTATTAATATACAATAACCTGCAACATCAACAATTCATATCATACAACATTTCTTTTGTATCTGCATTACCCAACTGGTGAAGTATTGTGTAAAGTAAAAGGACACAAGTGCAACTAATGTGACATTTATTGTGGCAACGTTTCGCTCTCCAGGAGCTTTATCAAGCCATTACAAACAATACATGGACAAAGAGGGTATATAAAGGCTCAGAGTGAGGTGAATACTAGTGAGGTACCATTTCGATGTTCACTAGAGGTGGTGGTGGTGGTAGTAGTAGTAGTAGTAGTAGTAGTAGTAGTAGTAGTAGTATTAGTAGTAGTAGTAGTAGTAGTAGTAGTAGTAGTAGTAGTAGTAGTAGTAGTAGTAGTAGTAGTAGTAGTAGTAGTAGTAGTAGGTAGTAGTAGTAGGTAGTAGTAGTAGGTAGTAGTTAGTAGGTAGTAGTTAGTAGGTAGTAGTTAGTAGGTAGTAGTTAGTAGGTAGTAGTTAGTAGGTAGTAGTTAGTAGGTAGTAGTTAGTAGGTAGTAGTTAGTAGGTAGTAGTTAGTAGGTAGTAGTTAGTAGGTAGTAGTTAGTAGGTAGTAGGTAGTAGGTAGTAGGTAGTAGGTAGTAGTTAGTAGGTAGTAGTTAGTAGGTAGTAGTTAGTAGTTAGTAGTTAGTAGTTAGTAGTAGTAGTTAGTAGTAGTAGTTAGTAGTAGTAGTTAGTAGTAGTAGTTAGTAGTAGTAGTTAGTAGTAGTTAGTAGTAGTAGTTAGTAGTAGTACAATATGGTAAAGCAATTAATTCGTACATGAGTAAAAGGATATAAAAGCTATTACTTGGGTAACATAAAAATAGGTTGGACAAATATAAACTGGAATGAGAAACGTTGCCACAATAAATGTCACATTAGTTGCACTTGTGTCCTTTTACTTTACATATTGTCGGTAATTCTACCAACTTTATTACAATCTGGTGAAGTATTGTACACAATGACTTACACTACACCCCAACATCCACATAATGTAATTACCTAACTGGAAATGCAATAAATTCCTAATGAACTGCTATTACTGAAGCCAAAGAACTTAGCTGCCAGAGTCAAGTATGGCAGAAGAATAAGACATTCTCAATGTGAAAGACTAACTCCCTGGAAGACAAGAACCCAACACTTAAAATTAGTTACAAACTAACTTTCAACTTACCTGGAAGACAAGAGCATGATTCAAAATTAGTCATGTATTACCCCACATGGGTTTAGTACTTCTGTACTTCCATGAATATAATACTGTATATTTATAATAAGAACTGGCCTTGAGCTTATCAACCTTCAGTAAAGTTATCATTAGGATAAATATACTGTGAATAAACAGAGGAACAGACAGGCACTTGAACTGTGGCCCTGGTGCATAGCAGGTCCAGCCACGGTTCCAGTCCCTGGCCCTTGTTTATCCGCTGAAAGTCATTTATTATGACTTATGCTGAGTTTATACTGTATATGTATTTACTCAAGTTGTCACTGTTAAAAACTGATCAAATGGAGGTATCCTTCACTTGCTATGTATAACTTTGCTATTGTGCAATGGCCCATTTTTTATCTTTATAATTCGATATATGGGATATACATCTATCATGCGCAATTGGTTCTCTTCATGAAAAATACTGACAATTCTTATTAAGTGTTGAAAGTATGACTGAACTGTCATGGGCCAGAAACACATCCACTGTACTTCAGGGAATTTTTTTATCAGTATCAAGATATTAATATTTTAAAAGAAACGACAAACCTAGATATTTTGTAAAAATTTCACATTTTTTTCAAGAATTTATGAAATTTAATTTTTTTTTCATGAAATTTAAGATATATTTGGTTTAAAAGATCAACTTAGGCTAGACATATCTAATATTATAAAGCAAGGGATACCTTGCCCGAAATGCTCTGCATAACCGTGGGCTTTTTACATGCACAACCGAATATCACCCATTTTCTGTACAAACATTGCATCTTGTGGAAATATATCTTTGACTTAGACTTTGTATAGAAATGTTTAAGTTATTCTGTTATTGTTGCACCATTCGGTAAATGATTTTGAAGGGTCTTCGGCATCAAGCTCGTCCCACAAAGGTAACAGTAGTTGCGACGGAAGACGCTTTTCAAGTTGCTTCTCCAATGCCGGAACCAACAGTGATGCCAGCAGTTCTGAGCCTCGTCGCGAGAGGTGGAGACCATCGCATAGGAGACCCTGCCAATCCTCCTGAAGAAAAATAAATGCAAAATTAATTATCAGTATCCTGTATTATCTTTTAAGATGGCTCTATGCAAAACATTCTCAACTCGATACCCTTTTCCAGGTTCTGTACATTCCACGTCTTTCACTTGTGTGTTCCCTTACTTGTCTTTCCACCTTGATTTGTTCTTCAGCTCAGCTCATCTGTGTAAACATTTAATAATCTGTATCTTCAGATGTTGTTTCCACATTAAAAAGGCTATTAGGGTATATTATTATTACATTCAGGAGTTATACAGTGCCTGGAAATGGAGAGGAAATGAGGTTTGATCCAGGCCTGACTGCCTTCACCAGAATCAAGGAACCTACCTTGAGGGGTAAAAGGAAAGAGAGGACATCCTGTAATGCTGAGTATCCAGTAAATATGAATCATATAAATAACAGAATTGATGTTATATTTAGAAACATAATTAATCTTTAAATAATGTTAATATGCATAATAAAGTACGAATTATGTTTCTACTTTGATGCATTAAGCATATGTACATGTTAGACACATGTTCATCATCTTGTTGGCACAGGCATATCTTGTTAATACAGCGGTCACTCTAGAGTTCTTTACTAATGTGGCGCTTTTCAAATTTTTCGGCAATTTTCTAATTTTTTATTATCATCATTTTTCTATGCCTAGTCCTATTGTGCACTTAATAAATGATAGTACGAACATGTTTTTAGGCATCTATATATACTGTCAAGTGAAAAAAAGGCTGTGGTTCACTTTAAGGTGCTATTCACTTTACTGCTGGGGTCTGGAACCTAAGCTGCCATATTAGTGAGGTATCCCTGTATTGTGTACCATTAATACCTTTAATCGGAGGATCAAGCCTCCACCATGCCTAACACTTTAATCGACATTCTTCTCACCTGATTGATCATCGCTGTGTGAAGGTCAAGGCACGGGACCTTCAAGTCATTGGCAGTGTTTGAGCAAGCCTGAGCATACTTGGCAGTGAGTTCCTCGTTCTTCGTGTACAAGCGGCCACTTTCCGCACAGTTCCTCTGCCAAGCTTCACCATCGAGTGCTGGTGGTGTTATCACGATGGGATCAACCCCAAATTTCTGCAAGGATGACGCTATTAAAAATTTTTAATTTTATTGTAAAAAAAAATTACATGTATGGTACAAAAGTGTGCATAAAATATATTTTTACAAAGAGCAGATTATATTAAGTTCTTGGGGCAAATATCTTCTGCTATTTTTATATAACAAAATTTCTACCATGTAAATAACAATAATGTACTATAATATATATTGAGGAGTTTGTAAATGATTATTTTTTTTAGATGACTGTCATAGGGATGAGCTATGACGGAGTGGGAGGCAGTCAGGTTTGATCCAAGGAAGTGGAGAACAGGTCTGATTCCTTGGATCATGAATGTAACAGCATCATGGCATTTCCCTCTGGGGCTCTATTACTGTAGAATTATTATTATTATCATAACTAAGTGCTAAACCCACAAGGGTCATACAGTATTATTGTAGAAGTCTAAATAGTCAAATCAGGATAAATTATACATTATATCACCTAGCACAGAGCAATTCTATACAAGGAGAGTAAGTGTACAAACACCCTGTACTATACTACAGTACTCTTAATTACCTATTACATTTTTAATACCAGAATGACCTTATAATTAATGTACAATATATATTTCAGTAGATATGTTGCAGTTTTTGAACTGCAGTATCAGCACACCTCTGGCAAGACAGTGATGGAGTGAGCGATGATTAAAGTGTTTCTTCTTTTTGGGGTCACTTTGCCTTGGTGGGAAATGGAAGATGGTTTCAACAAATATATACATATCTTAACTATTATACTAACCCCTTGTCCTGTATGCGTTACAAAATTTAGAGAGAGAAACTTTCGTTTTTCTTTTTAGGTCACCCTGCCTTGGTGGGATATGGCCAGTTTGTTGAAAAAAAAAAAAAACTGGTATACTGAGCCAATGTCTGCAATGTATTTGGCCTGTAATGCATGCTTCACTATTTAAATTATTATTATTATTTTTTACCTCATCAGCCATCTCTCACTGAGGTAAGGTGACCCAAAAAGTCATTTAATCACTGGTGCCAGAGGAGTGCTAACACTACAGCTCAGATGACCCTCTGAACTGCAACATTCCAGCACCTCCTTCAGTGTAGGTACTGTACTCCCCATCTCCAGGACTCAAGTCCAGCTAATTGGTTTTCATGTTACTTTGCTGGCAAGCCAACACCATGTCCACTGTGATAAATGGTTTAGAAAAATGACAAGTTGAAGCCATTGGCTGGCAAAACATTTCCTCAATAAAGATTCCAAAATGTTGCTGTCTCATTCTTCACTATGCCTATTAAAAACTACTTGTCTCCACTGATGTGCTTGCATATGTCTGGTGGATGCTCAAGCCATAACAGCAAAGTTGCCTTTGCCCCCACCCCTTCCCTCCAACCATTCCTGACACAACTTCTCCCCTTTCTACCCTTCACCTCAAATTTATATATCTTCTTCATCATTTTATTCCTCTCCATCCTATCTAGATGCCCAAACTATCTCAACCAGCTATTATTATTATTACAATGTATTCAAAGAAAAGTATTAACCTAACAGGGGTCAGACACAGCCTGGTAAATGGAATATAACAGGATTGATCAGAAGGGAAGAGTAGCTCTGATTTCTTGCATCGACTTTAAGGCTACCCATTCAAAGATAAGTCTTGAAGAGGTTGTTTTGTTAATATATGTGGGATGATGTGGAAGAATACAGAGTTAAGCTCAGTGGCCTGCTAGGTGGAATGAACAATGAGAAATAATAGCATGCTGCATTTCTGAAGGAATGAGCAGCATTTATCAGCATGTTGGTGTATCAAAATGTAATGATGTACATCTTTGTCAGTACAAGAAAAAACCCACTTATAGACAAAATAAGAACATAAGAAAGGAGGAACACTGCAGCAGGCCTACTGGCCCATACTAGGCAGATCCTTCCCAAACCCACAAGCTTTCATAACCCTATTAACTCATGTGTAATTACAGAGATGAAAGTTCTGTATGAGAAATCTTCAGCAGAAGCTCTCGGCAGGATGTTAAAATATAAAGATATTTCTGTATTAGCCTCGATGGGATACGGCTGGTTTGTTGAAAGATTTCTGTATTATTATGTTTCTGTCTACCTCTAGCTTTTTCCTTTGCACGTCTTAGTATGTTTATGACATTACAATTACAGTATGGTTTTTATATTTGCACTTGAATTAACAAAAAAAGGGCACAATACCATGACTGGAACGATACACAAATAACCCGCACATAGAAGAGAGGAGCTTACGACGACGTTTCGGTCCAACTTGAACCATTTACAAAGTGTGACTTTGTAAATGGTTCAAGTAAGTTCCTCTCTTCTATGTGCGGGTTATTTGTGTACACTTGAATTTATGGGTTAAGAGCTGTTATCCTACCTCGGGTCATTTCAAAGCCCAGCTCTAAGATACATTAACACCTTCCATGGAATGTGACCCACTGCAGTAGACTGACATCAAGGTACCTACTTACTGCTAAGTGAACAGGAGCAATAGATGTAAGAAAACATATCTAACATTTTCAACTGTGCCAGGATTAAACCCAGGTGCCTCAGATGTAAGCCAAGGGTATTACTACCTGAGCCACACAAGAATGGAGGAACACTGCAGCAGGCCTACTGGCCTATACTAGGCAAGTCTTTCTCAAAACCAACCATTCCCACCCACCTAATTGTCTAACCATTTCCCCAAACCACCCAAGAATTTGCTTCAGTACTTCACACGTCACTGGTAGTTTCTAGGGCTCGTCTACCCTAGGAGCCCAATCTGGGATTAGCATTCCTTGAGGATTCTTGCTGGTGTAAAACTTGTAGGCAAAAAAAAAAAAAAAAAAAAAAAAAAAAAAAAAAAAAAAAACAGGACTACAAAGGTGTATAAAAACGGAATGTCACCCGAGATGTGTGTCACACTGGGTACACAAGTTCAGTGCAGCTACACAAATGTATTACACAAACTATTCCTTAGCAATACCCATCAAGGGGTTTGTCTTTAATATTAGTGAAGGATTTTCAATCCAAGAAACTGAAGTACCCTGCCCTTCCTCATCACTGGAGCTGAACTCTTCAACAGACTGAGGGACTGACAACCTCCAATACTTTTTCTCCAAGGTTGATGGACTGATTACATCATCTTAATTACATTTCTATTGGTCCCTTTGTATTTGACTGAAAAATCGTACTATGTAGGTGAAACATTTCATCAATAAAGATACCCAACTGATGCCCATGTGTCTTAATCTTCATCTCTCATCACTCACAAAATTGTAATAACACGACTGCAAACAAATCATGGAACGAGTGGGGCAAGTGAGCCCTAAAACTTGGCCAGCTGGCCTAGTTGTTAATGCAATGGCCTGTAAGTTTCAGGGTTTTCTTTCCATGGGTTCAAATCCCACCTGTTCCCTGAACTGTATGTCCCTTATGGGTCAAGTGTGTTCCCATAAATAAAATAACACTGTACATACTAATAATGTTAGGTACGTAAAAGGACACAAGTGCAACTAATGTGACACATTGTTAGTAATTCTACTAACATTATTACAATCTGTACTAATAATCCTTAACAATAACCTTGCAGGAATATTCATTCCTTAACACTATACAGAAGTACATTACTAAATTTTTATTACCACAGTCTTTCTTACTTAAATTACCCACCTGAAAATGTGCAACGATATCTTTGAGATTCTGCACGTAATCCTGTAGTGGTACATACTGCTGCCTGTTTATCATCTCACTAGCATCATTAGCTCCAAGGAAAACTGTAGCTCCTACGACATCTTTAAGATCTGACACGACATGCGGCAGCAGCGCTCGGCAGTCGCGGGTGTTGTAGCCAGAGAACCCTCGTGCCACCACATCTGCTCGTCTAGTGGAAAGAATGTTCAGCATAAATATTTTTATGTTGGTACTTTACTTTTATTAAGAAAAAATGCTCAGGAAACATTGTTGTCAATGAAATTTTATATGGCCTTAATGTAAAAAAAACTAAATGCAGGTATAGTGATATGTTTGGTAGATGGGGAACTAGATGTAACATTACAACACATCTCACTGCACCATCATTACATATATACCTACAATACAGATGCTACTTGCTTTATGATGGTTTGACTATACAGTGGACCCCCGCTTAACGATCACCTCCCAATGCGACCAATTATGTAAGTGTATTTATGTAAGTGCGTTTGTACGTGTATGTTTGGGGGTCTGAAATGGACTAATCTACTTCACAATATTCCTTATGGGAACAAATTCGGTCAGTACTGGCACCTGAACATACTTCTGGAATGAAAAAATATCGTTAACCGGGGGTCCACTGTATTTTGAATTTACAATGGTGTGATAGTAATGCACATTCAGTAGACATCAATCTTTCATAAGAAAAACTTTTATTCATTTATTTACTTTTCAATCTTGGTACTATTTAGTTAACAGTAATTGTTTATTTCCTTATTTAGTGACAGTAATTATTTATTTATTTATTGTACCGTATTTTGTGGCTTATAAGACTTTAGTTTCAATGGCTCGGCATCGGACGTAACTGGGAGAGCTATAGCCCACCCCACATCCCAAACATATAGCTCCCATCACCGACCTTCAGTTTATAGGACGCAGAGTGGTTTTTGGGGACATTTTATGGAACAAAAAATGCATCTAATAAGCTACAAAATATGGTATTCATATCTGACTTACAATATTTTCAACTTACAATGGGTTCATTGGAACATAACCATCTGTAGTGTCAACAATTTTACTCACTTTACTATCTATAAACATTTGTTTTCAAGGATTTCCAGTACTCTCCTTGCAACAATATCCTGCCATTCATCTTCCTTTGAAGTCAGCTAATTTTTCATTTATTCACATTCAAGTTTATTTCCACACAGTACTATAATGCACAGCACCTTTGTTACATATACTATAATAATAATAATAATAATAATAATAATAATAATAATAATAATAATAATAATAATAATAATAATCACAGTGTAGGTGTGCCTCTGGCAAGACAGTGATGGAGTGAATGATAATAAAATGTTTCTTCCTTTTTGGGTCACCCTACCTTGATGAGAAATGGCTGATGTATTAATAAAATAATAAAAATTAAATAATAATATTTATTTTTTCTGCAGTAGACTGATAATATAGTTTACATGTAATAAAATATCGTTAAGTAAAAATAAAACCACTAGCATGTGGCACATTTTGGTTTAAGTCCCAGAGTTTTCTTGATGTTAGCATTGATGACAGACAGAAAAAAATAACACTGATTCAAATTAATGATTCTGGAGGTTAAATAATCCAGGATAGTCCATGAAAGCCAAGTAGTGTAGTTAATTTTCATTGGGGTTCGTTTTTTTTTTTAGGGCCTTCCCCAGGACGAGACCAACAGCAATTGACTTATTCCCCAGTATCTATTTATTGCTGGGTTAGTAGAGCACTCAACTCACACACTGAGGTCTGTGGTTTGATCCCTGGTATGGGTGGAAACATTTGGAAAAGTTTAATTAAGACACTTGCTGTCTATGTTCACCTAGCAGTAAGTATGTGCTTGGGTTTTAGTCACCTTACACCTGCTGTCCATATTCACCTAGCAGTAAGTAGGTACCTGGCTGTTAGTCGACTGGTGTGGGTCACATCCTGGGACAAAATTAACCTAATTTGCTCGAAATGTTCTGCATAACAAGGGGCTTTCTATAAAGTACATCACTGATGTCAGCTGTGGTCTGTATAAGTTGTCATGTACTTGTAGAAAATGCACTGCATGCTAGTGGCTTTTGTGCCGAACAATATTTTATTGCATTTTGTATACTGCAGAAAAGAAATAAAGCTTTCCGCCTGCACATCACAAAATCCAGCTAGCCGCTCTCTTCTCACCCATTCGTATTCACACACAATCAACTTTTTTTTTTTTGTAACACTAGTGTGTTACAAAAGAAAGAAAGAAATGTTTTACATGAAATACTCTGCATAACTATGGTCTTTCTATATTCACAACTCAATATCACCCATCTCTGTGCAAATAGTGTATCATGCTGAAATAAAATACGTACATATACGAAAGGTTGGAGGGAGGGGGTAAAGGAGGTTTTGTGTGCGAGGGGCTTGGACTTCCAGCAGGCATGCGTGAGTGTGTTTGATAGGAGTGAATGGAGACAAATGGTTTTTAATACTTGACGTGCTGTTGGAGTGTGAGCAAAGTAATATTTATGAAGGGGTTCAGGGAAACCGGCAGGCCGGACTTGAGTCCTGGAGATGGGAAGTACAGTGCCTGCACTCTGAAGGAGGGGTGTTAATGTTGCAGTTTAAAAACTGTAGTGTAAAGCACCCTTCTGGCAAGACAGTGATGGAGTGAATGATGGTGAAAGTTTTTCTTTTTCGGGCCACCCTGCCTTGGTGGGAATCGGCCAGTGTGATAATAAATATTGTTATTATTATTATTATTGTTATAACTTACCGTTGAAAATGATCAGCCAGCAGAGCGCCCCAGCAACCTTCACCACTGAAACAAAACTGTGAATATCTTTAGTTGCAAACAACTGTATGATCCTTGTGGGTTTATTGCTTAGCTATGAATACAATAATAATAATTAGACACAGACAAATGTATGACTCTTGTGGGTTTACTGCTTAGTCATGATTGTAATAATAATAATTAGACTAAGACAACTGATCTTCACTCCCATCAAAGTTCTACAGTATTATGAATACAAATATTGTGATACATTGTACAGAACAGTAAAACAAAATACAGTGTATATACTTTAAAACAACTGCAGTTTATTCAAAAAAACATATGATCGTACCCAAGTTAATTTATAACCTTAAGACAACCGATTCCTGTGCTGTAGGATCCTTGTGAGTTTAGAGGTTAGTTCTGACCATAATAATAATAATTAAGACAACCGACGGCTAACTGATTCCTTAACTGGAAATTCATGAATTATTGCCATGTTTATGTGCATTTTGATTAGATTGTAAATTATTAATTATTTATTAGATTGTAAATTGCTTTTAGTGTATTATACTGTATTAGTATTTATTAGTTGAGGTTCCAGTCCAAGCTGGTGGTGGAGAGACATTATTTTGTTATTATTATTATAACTCAATGTTGAACACACATGATGATATGTATGATAATCTATGTAACTGTATTTAAGTATACCTGTACATGAATACAGTGGACCTCCGGTATTCGATGGCATCGGTATTCGATAAATCCGGTATTCGATGCATTTTAACGCAAAAATTTCGCCTCGGTATCCGATCGAAAACCCGGTATTCAATGCGATTCGTACGAGACGTGTCCACGTGTGGCCTGAACTGCCCCTTATGTGCCAGTGTTTACAAGCCAGCCAGTGTGCGTGCATCTAAGGATACATTTGGTACATTCCATATTATCACTGTTTTTGGTGCTTGTTTCTGCAAAATAAGTCACCATGGGCCCCAAGAAAGCTTCTAGTGCCAACCCTGTGGTAAAAAGGGTGAGAATTAGTATGGAAATTAAGAAAGATTTTGAAGGGTTTGGGGCTAACCCTGAGAAGCCTATGCCAGTTGTGGAATCCATTGTGCCTACTTCAAAAATTAAGGAAATGTGTGCACAGTGGGTTGAACTGCAAACCTTTATGGATGAAAATCACCCTAACACAGCTATTGCAAGCCGTGCTGGTGACTATTACAATGACAATGTTGTGGCCCATTTTAGACAAATCGTAAAGGAACGGGAGGTACAGAGCTCTATGGGCAGATTTGTTGTGCGACAGAGGTCCAGTGACTCTCAAGCTGGTCCTAGTGGCATTAAAAGAAGAAGGGAAGTAACCCCGGAAAAGGACTTGCTACCTCAAGTCCTAATAGAAGGGGATTCCCCTTCTAAACACTAACACCATCCACACTCTCCCCTCCTCCCATCCCATCAATCATCACCAGATCCTCATTAAAGGTAAGTGTCAATTATTCTATTGTTATTATTCTATTGTTATTGTAATTATTCTATTGCATTAAACTTAATATTTCATGTGGTAAAATATATTTTTTTCATACTTTTGGGTGTCTTGCACGGATTAATTTGATTTCCATTATTTCTTATGGGGAAAATTGATTCACTTTTCGATATTTTCGGTATTCGATGAGCTCTCAGGAACGGATTAATATCGAATACCGGGGGTCCACTGTACGTACTTACTTGCTTTTACTTACTATACTTACCTTACTTGCTATACTTACCATACTTACTATACTTAATTAACTTACTATACTTATATGTACTTACTTCACTTACAATACTTACTTTACTTATATGTACTTACTTCACTTACTATACTTATATGTACTTACTTCACTTAGTATACTTACTTTACTTATACGTACTTACTTCACTTACTATACTTAAACGTACTTACTTCACTTAGTATACTTACTTTACTTATACGTACTTACTTCACTTACAATACTTACTTTACTTATACGTACTTACTTCACTTACTATACTTATACGTACTTACTTTACTTATACTTATACTTTACTTAGGCTGGAATATTGCTGCACTCTAACAGCACCTTTCAAGGCAGGTGAAATTGCCGACCTAGAAAATGTACAGAGAACTTTCACGGCGTGCATAACGGAGATAAAACACCTCAATTACTGGGAGCGCTTGAGGTTTCTAAACCTGTATTCCCTGGAACGCAGGAGGGGGAGATACATGATTATATACACCTGGAAAATCCTAGAGGGACTAGTACCGAACTTGCACACGAAAATCACTCACTACGAAAGCAAAAGACTTGGCAGACGATGCACCATCCCCCCAATGAAAAGCAGGGGTGTCACTAGCACGTTAAGAGACCATACAATAAGTGTCAGGGGCCCGAGACTGTTCAACTGCCTCCCAGCACACATAAGGGGGATTACCAACAGACCCCTGGCAGTCTTCAAGCTGGCACTGGACAAACACCTAAAGTCAGTTCCTGATCAGCCGGGCTGTGGCTCGTACGTTGGTTTGCGTGCAGCCAGCAGCAACAGCCTGGTTGATCAGGCGCTGATCCACTAGGAGGCCTGGTCACAGACCGGGCCGCGGGGGCGTTGACCCCCGAAACTCTCTCCAGGTCCAGGTAATACGTACTTACTTCACTTACTATCTTATACGTACTTACTTCACTTAGCATACTTACTTTACTTATATGTACTTACTTCACTTACTATACTTAAACGTACTTACTTCACTTAGTATACTTACTTTACTTATACGTACTTACTTCACTTACTATACTTATACGTACTTACTTCACTTAGTATACTTACTTTACTTTTACGTACTTACTTCACTTAGTATACTTATTTTACTTTTACGTACTTACTTCACTTACAATACTTATACTTACTTTACTTCACTTACTTTACCTACAGCGCTGCTCAGTAGCAGAGAGATAGACCGGGATGTACATACATGTCCAATTTACGTGAAGTCCACAATAAACTATTCTTTTTACCCGACAACCACAACAGCTTGCTCGATCTAATAAATGCTGAGCATAAAAGAGTTTTTTTACTTGTGTAATAGAGTCCCCGAAGAGGAATATCTTGGGCCACTTGACGACCTTATGGACCGCCATGTTATTGTTGGGTGTTAAGGGTTGTTGTTACTGAGGAGCCGTAGATCATGTTATTGTTGGATGTTAAGGGTTGTGTTACTGAGGAGCCGTAGATCATGTTAATGTTGGATGTTAAGGGTTGTGTTACTGAGGAGCCGTAGATCATGTTAATGTTGGATGTTAAGGGTTGTGTTACTGAGGAGCTGTAGATCATGTTATTGTTGGATGTTAAGGGTTGTGTTACTGAGGAGCCGTAGATCATGTTAATGTTGGATGTTAAGGGTTGTGTTACTGAGGAGCTGTAGATCATGTTATTGTTGGATGTTAAGGGTTGTGTTACTGAGGAGCCGTAGATCATGTTATTGTTGGATGTTAAGGGTTGTGTTACTGAGGAGCTGTAGATCATGTTATTGTTGGATGTTAAGGGTTGTGTTACTGAGGAGCCATAGATCATGTTATTGTTGGGTGTTAAGGGTTGTGTTACTGAGGAGCTGTAGATCATGTTATTGTTGGATGTTAAGGGTTGTGTTACTGAGGAGCCGTAGATCATGTTATTGTTGGGTGTTAAGGGTTGTTGTTACTGAGGAGCCGTTTACCTGGAGTTTACCTGGAGAGAGTTCCGGGGGTCAACGCCCCCGCGGCCCGGTCTGTGACCAGGCCTCCTGGTGGATCAGAGCCTGATCAACCAGGCTGTTGCTGCTGGCTGCACGCAAACCAACGTACGAGCCACAGCCCGGCTGATCAGGAACTGACTTTAGGTGCTTGTCCAGTGCCAGCTTGAAGACTGCCAGGGGTCTGTTGGTAATCCCCCTTATGTGTGCTGGGAGGCAGTTGAACAGTCTCGGCCCCCTGACACTTATTGTATGGTCTCTTAACGTGCTAGTGACACCCCTGCTTTTCATTGGGGGGATGGTGCATCGTCTGCCAAGTCTTTTGCTTTCGTAGTGAGTGATTTTCGTGTGCAAGTTCGGTACTAGTCCCTCTATGATTTTCCAGGTGTATATAATCATGTATCTCTCCCTCCTGCATTCCAGGAATACAGGTTTAGGAACCTCAAGCGCTCCCAATAATTGAGGTGTTTTATCTCCGTTATGCGCGCCGTGAAAGTTCTCTGTACATTTTCTAGGTCGGCAATTTCACCTGCCTTGAAAGGTGCTGTTAGTGTGCAGCAATATTCCAGCCTAGATAGAACAAGTGACCTGAAGAGTGTCATCATGGGCTTGGCCTCCCTAGTTTTGAAGGTTCTCATTATCCATCCTGTCATTTTTTCTAGCAGATGCGATTGATACAATGTTATGGTCCTTGAAGGTGAGATCCTCCGACATGATCACTCCCAGGTCTTTGACGTTGGTGTTTCGCTCTATTTTGTGGCCAGAATTTGTTTTGTACTCTGATGAAGATTTAATTTCCTCATGTTTACCATATCTGAGTAATTGAAATTTCTCATCGTTGAACTTCATATTGTTTTCTGCAGCCCACTGAAAGATTTGGTTGATGTCCGCCTGGAGCTTTGCAGTGTCTGCAATGGAAGACACTGTCATGCAGATTCGGGTGTCATCTGCAAAGGAAGACACGGTGCTGTGGCTGACATCCTTGTCTATTTCGGATATGAGGATGAGGAACAAGATGGGAGCGAGTACTGTGCCTTGTGGAACAGAGCTTTTCACCGTAGCTGCCTCGGACTTTACTCTGTTGACTACTACTCTCTGTGTTCTGTTAGTGAGGAAATTATAGATCCATCGACCGACTTTTCCTGTTATTCCTTTAGCACGCATTTTGTGCGCTATTACGCCATGGTCACACTTGTCGAAGGCTTTTGCAAAGTCTGTATATATTACATCTGCATTCTTTTTGTCTTCTAGTGCATTTAGGACCTTGTCGTAGTGATCCAATAGTTGAGACAGACAGGAGCGACCTGTTCTAAACCCATGTTGCCCTGGGTTGTGTAACTGATGGGTTTCTAGATGGGTGGTGATCTTGCTTCTTAGGACCCTTTCAAAGATTTTTATGATATGGGATGTTAGTGCTATTGGTCTGTAGTTCTTTGCTGTTGCTTTACTGCCCCCTTTGTGGAGTGGGGCTATGTCTGTTGTTTTTAGTAACTGTGGGACGACCCCCGTGTCCATGCTCCCTCTCCATAGGATGGAAAAGGCTCGTGATAGGGGCTTCTTGCAGTTCTTGATGAACACAGAGTTCCATGAGTCTGGCCCTGGGCAGAGTGCATGGGCATGTCATTTATCGCCTGTTCGAAGTCATTTGGCGTCAGGATAACATCGGATAGGTTTGTGTTAATCAAATTTTGTGGCTCTCTCATAAAAAATTAATTTTGATCTTCGACTCTCAGTCTGGTTAGCGGCTTGCTAAAAACTGAGTCATACTGGGACTTGAGTAGCTCACTCATTTCCTTGCTGTCATCTGTGTAGGACCCATCTTGTTTAAGTAGGGGCCCAATACTGGACGTTGTTCTCGATTTTGATTTGGCATAGGAGAAGAAATACTTTGGGTTTCTTTCGATTTCATTTATGGCTTTTAGTTCTTCCCGTGATTCCTGACTCCTAAAGGATTCTTTTAGCTTAAGTTCGATGTTTGCTATTTCTCTGACCAGTGTCTCCCTACGCATTTCAGATATATTGACCTCTTTTAGCCGCTCTGTTATTCTTTTCCGTCGCCTGTAAAGGGAGCGCCTGTCTCTTTCTATTTTGCATCTACTCCTCCTTTTTCTTAGAGGAATAAGCCTTGTGCAAACATCGAGTGCCACCGAGTTAATCTGTTCGAGGCATAAGTTGGGGTCGGTGTTGCTTAGTATATCTTCCCAGCTTATATCGGTTAGGACTTGGTTTACTTGGTCCCACTTTATGTTTTTGTTATTGAAGTTGAATTTGGTGAATGCTCCCTCGTGACTAGTCTCATTATGGCGGTCTGGGGCTCCGCGCATACATGTCTGAACCTCAATTATGTTGTGATCTGAGTATATTGTTTTTGATATGGTGACATTTCTTATCAGATCATCATTGTTAGTGAAGATGAGGTCTAGTGTATTCTCCAGTCTAGTAGGCTCTATTATTTGCTGGTTTAAATTGAATTTTGTGCAGAGATTTAAAAGCTCGTGTGAGTGTGAGTTTTCATCAGAGCTGCCTCCTGGTGTTATTACTGCAACAATATTATTTGCTATATTCCTCCATTTTAGGTGCCTTAAGTTGAAATCCCCCAGGAGCAAGATGTTGAGTGCAGGAGCTGGAAGATTTTCCAGACAGTGGTCAATTTTTACAGCTGTTCCTGGATTTGCTGGGATGTTGCATCCGGAGGCTTGTAGACTACCACAATGACTAGGTTTTGGTTCTCGACCTTTACTGCTAAAACTTCCACTACATCATTTGAGGCATTAAGCAGTTCTGTGCAAACAAGTGACTCTGCAATGTACAGGCCAACACCCCCCCTTTTGCCTGTTCACTCTGTCACATCTGTATAGGTTGTAACCTGGGATCCATATTTCGTTGTCCAAGTGATCCTTTATGTGGGTCTCAGTGAAAGCCGCGAACATTGCCTTTGCCTCTGCAAGCAGTCCACGGATGAAAGGTATTTTGTTGTTTGTTGCTGGCTTTAGACCCTGTATATTTGCAAAGAAGAATGTTATCGGACTGGTGGTATTGTTGGTACTGGGGGGAAATTTTTTTCCGGCATTAGTATCTGTATCTGTTGGTTTGGAGTCGAGGCCATCGACTGTGGTTCCACTCCAGGAATGACTGAATTTGGTGTACGATTTCTGCCATTTCCTGCCAGTTTTTTTCCTTCCTGGCACTAAAAAACCTCTCCCTCTTGAGTGGCTGTGGCTACCCAGGTTTTCCCATGGCCTGGATGTTTTGTATCTTTTTGTCCCCTTTAGATGGTATGCCTGGCAATTTAAGTTATAGCACAGTCTTTCCTGTACTGAAGAGGTACACAGTTCAGGGTGAAAAAGTTTACAGGAAGGGAGTTTGCATTTTCCTGTTGTCACATGGGCATGGCATTTTCTAGGGTGGTCATAGTTGCACGTCCCATCTGTTTTTCCAGATTTCCCATGCCAGCAGATACCAAGTATGTGCACAGGCTTGGTTTCCGTTTGCCTTGGGTTTCTGTGACTGTATTCCCTGTTGGTGCATGTTTCCCTGTCTTACTTCTATCCTCCCTAGCACCAACAATGGAGCTCCCACCAGTTGTTTTTGGTAATATATCCTCACTATTGCTAGTGGAGTCCTCTTGTTTGCTATTTCCTGCGGTATTTCTAGTTTGCAATATTGGTTTTATCTTATCTTTGACTACACTTGTTTCCCTACTGTGGCTCCTGTCCCCTATGAGGTCATTTATATGTATTCCTTCCTGCGTATAGTTCCCGACTACCTGGACAAAATCTCCAGCTTCACCATTTCTGTCTCCCAGGACAGCACCTCCAGCTTCACCATTACTGTCTCCCAGGACAGCACCTCCAGCTTCACCATTACTGTCTCCCAGGACAGCACCTCCAGCTTCACCATTACTGTCTCCCAGGACAGCACTATCAGCCCCACATTTACTGACTACCAGGACTTCATCTCCAGCCTTACAGTTTCTGACTACATGGCCAGTATCAAGGGCAGTACCATTCAGCACAGACTTTTTATGTTCCCATCTGTTGTAGAAAGCTTCCAGGTTGTCTATGAAAGCAGCTTTGATGTTGTCCTCTTTTAATACCCTTGTGATTTTAGTCCATAGATTTATCTCATTTGGGCATACCCAAAAACATTTCCCTGTTTTAACACTGCTTGTAGCTAGTTCTTGGATATCTGCACAAGGGGCGTGACACCAATTTCCACACAAATGACAATTTATCCATGTGGAAGCCCGTTTGTTTGACTGACCACAGACTACACACAGCTTCATAATGATTTGAATGGTTTGCCTACATTATCGGCCTATTACTACCTATGTTAAGGTCTTAGGTCTACATTATTATTATCTACAGTTGCCTTAGTAAACCTAATATTAATATACTAGCAGTAAAACTACCTACTCCTTCCCTGAAGAGTAAATCTATAAATTAAATAAATGCCTACCAACAATCCACCGCCAACTAGAGA